AGCCTTTCTAATGCATGGGCCCATCAACTAAAAATATGATGCCTCACATACTCTAAAAAGAGTCCAATTTAGGCTAATAAGAAGTAATTTAACCAGAAAACTGTCCTTTTCTAGGTTACTTCCCCTGAAACCACTTAATCAGCTTTTGTTTTTCTTTCCCTTGTCTTTTACCATGGTTGTAGAGTAATGCAAAAGTAAGATTTTTCACATTTTACTTTGCTAGCACATAATCTTTTCTAGCTTTTAGTGTCCTCCTACACATTTAACAGATTGTGGTTTATCTCTCAGAGAAGCATACATCCTACTCTTTAGCTCTCTAAGGGAATGAAACTCACTGAGAATTAATAGAAAATAAGCCCAACTCTTTACCTACGCATCAGGTGTCACAAGGCACAAAGCTTTACTGAGCCAAGAAAAAAATCTTGTCATGAAGAGAATAATTGCTTCCATGTTTAACACCTCCAAAAAGGACACAAATAGCTGAAAGGAGGATATTTTAAAACTGTATTAAATCATTCTACTAGAAAATCTTAAGCTTGTAAAGTGCTAGAAAAAGTGAAGATCAATTAAATATCATTTGCCTTTGAAAGTCCATTTAGCTCATGCAGGGAGAGTGAAAGCTCCTTCCGTGAAATTCTGGATGGGGAGAGATGACATCATCCAGAAGCAAAGTTAACTGGGATTTTGTATAGCAAAGTGAAGATCAAGGTGATTTTTAAAGCACCCGTATTTGCCAAGAACTATTATTTTATAGGAACTGAAGAGTGCTTTAGACTCGATATCGAAAAGACATAAACAGATTTCTTGCCCTGGGTCTCCCACTTTCTCAGTCTCACTTCTTCCATCTGGGTAGCTTTTCACCTCTTAAATCTATTCTCCCTCAAGACTTTGGTTTCACCATTCTCCTTCCTCCTGTCCCCATTAGCCTACATGCCAAAAGCTGGCTTTTGCCCCCTGCTACTTGAGATATCCTCTCCATCTCCTATTCCTAAGCTGCTTTCTAGTAGAATTCTTATCATTTGTGTGAAAATAGGAGAAATTTGATCCTTAAAGAATTGTGAGTTATAATTCAAATAGTGATGAGGTTTGGAGGCCAATTTAATTCAAATTAGTGATTCAACAGTCCCAGAAGCAGAGACACATGAGAGAATGAGTTTGAAGATCCAGGTTCCATCTGATGTCTAAGTCAGCAGCCTTTCTAATGCCTAAACAGCCTCGTTCTTCACATACAGCTCAGAAAATCACAAACATAACCCTAGCCCCTTTGTGTAAACTAATTTGTCTCTCTTCCACATTCTTCCCTGGAGCTGGCAGACTTTGAAATAGCTAAAAATACAGTGTAGCGATGCCACTTTGAAAGATCTACCAATACAAAAGCATATAATGGGAGTTTTACAGCAATCTCTAACACCTAGAATACTACTTGGCATTTCATAGTCTTTCTATAAATGTTTGTTCAGTTATTAAGAATGAATCCAGTCCACTAGGAGAAATCCAGTCACATGTCCAACTGAGTAGAGTCCCTTTTGGTAGCTGCATGGCTGAATTTGTGTTTAAGTAAATGTGCTTGAAAATGAATCCTAGCCTGTCCTCCCACTAAAGACATCCCTTGGGGGGTTGTAATAACAGCCTTAACCTGGTTAATTGATGGGAGGTGCATCTGTTTGTATCTGTGATTATGTAAAATGTGGATTATTTTCCTCAGTTCAGTAAATGATGTAATGGAAATGATTGTAACATTAACTCGCATCACAATTCAGGCAGTTTTAACTCTTGCATAATAAGCAAATTGAGAATGAAACTTTGCTACCAGAAGTGCATAAATCTCCACTCTCCTAAGATGGACACAGTATAAATGTTGCCTTCATATACACAATGCTGAAATATACCCACGCTCATATACATGTACACACACATACCTGCATCCACTTGAGACAACAGATGCATCTCCTCTACCTCATCCTGGCAGCCCTACATAATATTAAAAAGGAATCTGGACTCCAAAGGAACCAAACTGGAGCTTCTGAGAATACTGCCACAATGATTGTAATGTCCTGAAGCTTTGTAATTTTCTGCAGAAAGAAAAAGCTTATGGCCTAAATATGTATTTGTTGTATGTCATTGAGTCAGTTTTGACTCATAGGTATCCTACCCAATAGAGTAGAACTGCCCAATAGGGTTTACAAATCTGTATTCATTAAAAGTAGTCCTAGTGTGGTGCTGTAGGATAAGCACTGGACTGCTAATCACAAGGTCAGTGGTTCACACAAGGAGCTCTGGTAGCGTAGTGGTTATGAATTGGGCTGCGGTTCCCAAGGTCAGCAGTTCGAAACTACCAGCTGTTCCGTGGGAGAAAGATGAGGCTTTCTGCTCCTGTGAAGATTTACAGCCTCGGAAACCCCGTAGAGAGTCGCTATGAGTCGGTTCCGAATCCACGGCACACAGCCACCACCACCACCACCACCAGTCACTCCTCAGAAACCCTATACAGGGTCGCTATGAGTCAGGAACTAACTCAACAGCTCTTAACAACAACAGTGTTCTATAGGCTTACTATGAGTCACAATCAACTCAACAGCACTTGGTAGTCAGTACAGTCTAGGTGGTAAAAAACAGCCTGGGAGTTAGGAAACTTCTTTTTCTCTCTCCTTCAAAATCATAAATGAAAGAGGAAGGAAGGAAGGAAAGAAGGATTGGTTATGGGTTGAATTGTGTCCTCCAAAAAGTTATGCTGAAGTCCTAATCCCTGAACCAGTAAATGTAATCCTGTTTGGAAATAGGGGTCTTCTCTGTTACGTTAATGGGACCATACCAGAATAGGGTGAGTTCCAAACCTAATCACCTTTCAGTTGTGTCTTATAAAAAGAACAGAGGCAAACACATGCATCTACAAATAAACACATGTATCTATACATCCAAGAATGCCAAGGACTGCTGGAAGCTACTAGAAGCTAAGGAGCTCAGTGGCATAGTGGGTTATACTTTGGGCTGTTAACCTAAAGGTCAGCAGTTCAAATCCACCAACAATTCTATAGGAAGAGAAGGCTTTCTGCTCCTACCAGGATTTACAGCCTCAAAAACTCTATACAGGGTCGCTATGAGTCAGAATTGACTTGACAATACACAGCTCTCATCACCACCACCACTGCTATTAGAAGCTAAAAGACAAAGAAGGACCCTCCCCCTGGAGTCAATGCCCTGAATTCAGACTTCTAGCCTTTTAAATGGTGAGAAAATAAATGTATGTTCTTTAAAGACATCAACTTTGTTATGTATAGGATGAGCACTGGACTGCAAGGTCGGTTTGAACTGCAAGATCAGTGGTTCAAACTCACCAGCTACTCCTCAGAAACCTTATACAGGGTCCCTGTGAGTCAGAACTGACTCAGTAGCACTTGACAACAACAGAATTTTAAAAAAGAAAGGAAGGAAAGAAGAAAGGAAAAAGAGAGAGGAAGGGAGGAAGATTTTAACTAGCAAGCAACGCTGTAAGAGTTAATATATCACATAACTATAAGAAGTTTAACATGTGGAAAAAAATTATGTTTTCAACTTAATTCAACAACTATTCAGTGTCTTTATAAAAAAATAAGTTTATAACTGTTCAACAGACACTAAGAAGGCCCTAACTATGCCTAGAGATTAACATAGTAAAAAATATTCATTGGCTTATAATATATTGGTGTGGCACTGTAGGATAAGTACTGGACTGCTAACTACAAGGTCAGCAGTTCAAACCCACCAACCACTTCTTGGAAATCTCTATGATTCGGAACCAACTTGACGTCACTTAGCAACAACAACGATATATTAAAACTTTTTAAAGGGAATAACATCAATAGGACTCAGAATGGAAAAAAGAAGGTAGTATACTTTAATATATTTCTACCATTTATGAGATGCCATCACAAATTCCTACTCACGAGAACTAGAAAAAAAGGAGAAACTGGAAAAGAAAATAAGAAAACAAAGGCCAGAGCTCACACCCTCTATTTGTCTATTTTTATAGGAATGTACACTCTTCTACTATATTGGCTTCCTGACTCTTAAAAGTGGATTTATAGTCCTATTCTTGGCAAACTATTAAACACTCACTACTCCAAGGAGCTCTGGTAGCATAGTGGTTATGAATCAGGCTGCTAACCTCAAGGTCCGAAACTACCAGTGGTTCTGCGGGAGAAAGATGAGGCTTTCTTCTCCCATAAAGATTTACAGCCTCAGAAACCCTGTGCAGGATTACTATGAATCAGAACCAACTCCATGATACTTAACAACAACAACAACTCTAACATCATTAAGTCAGAAGACAAGTTTTGAGAATGTAAATAATATTTGGTGTGGTGCTGTAGGATAAGCACTGGACTTCAAACCACAAGGTCGACAGTTCAAACCCACCAGTCACTCCTAGGAAACCCTACACAGGGTTGCTATGAGAATCAACTGAACGGTGCTTAACAACAAAGTTTAATGATCAGTACTAATAAGATCTGTATTATAATTATGTTCCCCAGTTAACTTTAAATGTATTTGGTAAATAGAATTACACAATTGCCTGGACTCTTTAAGAGGAAATTCATTTTATAATCATTATAATAATATTAGTGATTTTATTGTTACTTAAATAAAATGTCATGGAAGCTTGATTGAAATCTTCAATAAAGACTATTATAATCACAGTATGATATGGTACAAAAATACTGGTCAGAAAATTGAAAGATTTTGGCTCTTGTTTTCTGGGACCTCTTTTGGCCTCAATATTGGGTAATAAAAATTATATACACCATTTAACCCTCTGTTGTATAAAGAGTTATCTCAACTTTAAGATAAATGGAGAGTAGTTAAATATAATCCCAAATCACAACGCTCATTCCCATCTCCATTTTACAAGCCCTCAAAATCCTCTATGGTTTCCTTGATACTAATATATACAGTGGCAAAAAGAGAAGCGAGGGAGCTTAAGATCGCTATTGTAGAACCAAAGCATGAAAAATCTCTCTCACCATTCCTCACCCGTTCAACCTCACAGAAGTGTGTTCCAGTGGGAGTGTGAATAAATGCATGGACATGCTTAACACCGTTCTGAGAATTAGAAAAAAAGAAGTGAAAATTTCAGTATATGCTATAAAGTCAATTGCTTAAATTAAACTGGGAACACAAATAAGTGAGATTACCTTTTCAAAACGCTTCCAAGGAACTTCTTCCACATAAACTTGAACCCGGGTGACATGGTTAAAAGAAGAAAGGAAATGCTCACAGATGTTCACAGCAAAAGTTTCTATGCTACTGATCTGTAAAAAGAAACAAAATGCTAGCCATCAGCAATACTTGTTCCCATTAATTTTTAAATACCCATGGGACTCTGTTTCTTGATCAAGTTGCTTTTAGAATCAGAGAAACACAGAATTTAAATCTTAACAGATGAATTGATCCTTGTTCTAACTTTTCACTAGCATTCCCAATGGTAGTTTGTAAATCATCATCACCAGGCAACATTCTATCTTATTTTTAAAAGAAATCGATCTTTTCAGGAGTGGATGTCAAGAATTGAGTAAAAAGTAATTCATCAGACAGATTCTTCTCATGATGAGCTCAGTCACTACCTACACCTACACTACAGTAAACTTCAGAACACTTATTAGGAAGTTGTGAATGAGCTTCCCACTTTCTGAAGACAAGATGTTAATGAAGGGCCACTTCAACATCCTCGCTTTGGTGTGGTTAGTTGTTCAGTTGATTCCAACCATGGTGGCTCCATGCATTTCAGAAACAGAACTGCACTTCATGGAGTTTTCAAGGGTATAGTCTTGATCACTAGAAGCAGACCACTAGGACTAACTTCCAAGGTACTTCTGGGCATGTTTGAGCCACCAACCCTCTAAATCTTTACCATTGTGCCACATAAAGACTCTTTGCCTTCTACTGACCATCCCCAGCACTCCATCACCATAAAAAGCCCATCATTTCTACACAAATCTGTCATGTTAATCCCTAAGTAATGTTCTATGGTTCTCGCAGACCTATAAATTAGTTGTGGCATGGTCTACAATTAATGTGGATAATTTGTACAGGTTTCCCTGGGATTATTCTGGTTTATACCTGTTGTCCCAAATAGTTAATAATAGCATCCTATTACACTTTCAAAATGATCATGATTGGAAAGGAAATTGTAAGGGTGCTGTAGGATAAACACTGTACTGCTAAAACAAGGTTGGTGGCTCAAACTCACCAGCTGCTCCTTGGAAACACTATACAGAATCACTGAGTCAGAACCAACTTACAGCAACAAAAACAATCTATAAAGTGAATTAATTTAAATAGCCTTTAACATCTCGGCCCATATCTTCACTTTTCTGCAGCTTCTCACATATATAAGGGTCTTAATACCTGTTCTTCTTCCATGTCACAGTACAGAGGTATTATTTCAATTGATGTTTTTTTAATGAGCAACGGCTTTTTCTATATCCTTGCCTATGCTTGCTGGAACATTCTTATTAGCAAGAGAAAGACTCAGGGTAGAAATAGGCCTTGTAGAAAGCATATCTCCACTAATTTTTTCATTTAAGGAACCCTGGACATGACTTTTATGAAAAAATATGAGAAAGTAAGTTTTCCAGTCTGTATTTCTTGCCTTTGTTGACTTCCAAGCATATTAAAAATTATTCTGAATTATACCTATTATGGGTGATCAGAAATCTGCAGGTAATCCAGCACAGCTTCATTCTTGCTTTCAGAAATACTAGGTAGAGGTGCTAAAATATCAGGTTCTATCAGAAGGCAGAGGACCAGGCAGTGTCTCATTCTGTTGTGCATAGGGTCACTATGAGGCAGAACAAGCTTGAAGGCACCTAACAACAACATCAGATTCAAGACTCTTTGAAGAGTGCAATTGTTGTTATTAGATGCCATTAAGCCTATTACAACTCATAGCGACCCCATGTGACAGAGTAGAACTATCCCATAGGATTTCCAAGGAGTCCTGGTGTGGCACCATAGGATAAGCACTCAGCCTCGAGGTCGGTTTGCACTGCAAACTCACCAGCCATTCCTCATGGTTGGTGAGTCAGAACTGACTCATACAGAGTTGCTATGAGTCAGTACTGACTTCACAGCACTTAACATTATTAGTAATATGCACTACATACAATGACCGGTTGTGACATTGTGATCCCTATGGTTTTAACTGACTGATTTTTGGAAGTAGATTTTCAGATCTTTCTTCCTAGTCTATTTTATATTGGAAGCTCTGCTAAAACCTGGTTAGCATTATAGCAAATGCAAGCAACCACTAACAGAGGTGTGATTGTGCATGAGATGCGTTGGGTAAGAATGAAGCTGGGGTCAGTCACATGAAAGGCAAGGATTCCACCACTGAGCCACTCATTGTTGTTGCAACGTGCCATTGAGTCAGTTCCAACTTACAGAGACCCTGTATAGGGTTTCCTAGGAATGGCTGGTGGGTTGAACTGCTGACCTTGAGGTTAGCAGTCTACCTAGAAAAGTTAAAACCAAAAAACTAAATCCAGTGCTACAGAATAGATTCTCACTCAAAGCAATCCTATGTAGGATTCCTGAGGCTGTACATCTTTAAGGGAGCAAACAGTCTCATCTTTCTCCCCAAAAGTGGCTGGCAAACCAGCCATCTTGCAATTAGCAGACCAACACCTAACCCACAGCACCATAAGTGCTCCTTAGAAAGGTCAAGAGAGCATTAAAATTTGTATACATTAACTTAGTCAATAAAAAAGAAATACTCAAGATAGTCTTCTATAGTAACAAAAGGGGAAAAAAAAAAAAGGGCATTTCCTTCTACAAGACAAAATTTTAAAACCATAGTAGCGCTTAAAGAAAAACATGATGAAAATGTGTTAAATGCCATATTAAAATTATCTTCCAAGATCATCCTTGTTGTTGGTAAGTGCCATCAAGTTGGTTCCAACTTATAGTGACCCTGTATATGGTTTCCAAAGAATGGCTGGTAAATGTGAACCACCAACATTGAAGTTAAAACCACCCTTCTGGTCCAGTGCTTATCCTACAACACCACACCAGTAGTCCAAGATCATCTTTAATTAAGAGATAATGTGTAAATGTGTCAGACAGTCTTTACTACTGAAAAGATTTTGTAATGAGATGAGAATCAAGAAGAGAAAGCAAAGAGGTAAGTCGAAAAATAAAAAGAAAGAAGATACAAAACATAAAAAGAAAGAAAGGCAAGTTTTTCTTCAAGCCTGAGAATTTTAGGATAGAAAGGGGGGAAAAAATTGTAATGGCTTAAATATAAAAATTGCAGATAGAGTTAAAAAGTACCCTTGGGTAGTGTGATGATGCATGGAGGGGACTGTAATCATTACAATGAAATGAAATACAATAGGATGAATGTAAAGTGAATGTTCTCACATGTAAACTATCACATAATTCACAATAAAAACTTTTTTTAAAAAAGTAAAAGGAACTTGAAATAAGAAAGTAATATTCCTGTACTATACTGTAGTGATTTCTGCATAAAGATAGGCATCATCATCTAAGAAGCATGACACATACTCCTTTGAATTTTGCCAAGACATGGACTGTGTTCTTGATGGTGTCTGTGGGGATGATGTCTGAATTGTCTCCATGTAGGTAGTCTTTTTTGGAACTCAGAGTAAGTTGCACCGAAGCTGCCACCTCTTTAATGGTGTGGTATTTTCCATCTCGCTGAATGTGGAGAATTTTTATCATATCCTTTCCATAGCCAGTTCGAACAAACTCCACCTCATCATTCTGAAATGAAAACATAGTCATCGTCAAGAAGGCTAAATGAAAGTAAAAAATCAACTGCAATTCTGTTCAGTTCTAACATTATTACAGTTATAAAAACTGAGATTTAAAGTATTCATCTAAGACAGACCATTCCTTACCTTTGAAGAAGAATGAAACCTGGATATTCCCAAGAAACAGATGAAAATTAGTTATATTGCCCTGAAAAGAGATATTCTTGGTAATAATAGTATACCCTGGATCAAACTATGCAAATTTACTATTTCATTTAGTCCTTGTTAAATTAATTTTCATAACAATTCTGTGAACTAATTTTGACAGGGAAAGAAACCAAAGTACAAAGAGAGAGAGGGACATGCCCAAATTCATGTAACCAGTAAAGGGTATAGTCAGAATTTGCTTAAGTCAGCTGACTCCAAATGTGTGCTCCTTACGTCTGTAAAATTTAATGATTACATTAACTGAAAAGAATTATAATCCTTTTTTTTTCCTTCAGCTTAATTTTATTATACTTTGTTCAATTCTGTTTTATATTCAATAAAATATAGTCACAAGGACCCACGTTTAAGAGAATCATCATAAAATGAAATTAAACAGATGATCAAGTTTCAAGTGCCAGATTAAAGCCAGAAGTTTACAAATAGTACAGTGTCCCCTTGGTACTACCAAAACACAACTTGTAGTAATTATCTTCAATAGCAAAGTCCCCCTGGTTCACAAAATAGTAGCTTTCCTTTTGTAGGAAATGAATAAGTCCTAAATACTCAGTTTACAATATAACAGATGTTAGAGGGGAAAATGTGATGTCTGAACTGAAACAGATTTTCTCTACATAAAAGTATTGAAAGAAATCACAAAAGAAAAAGTTGACAAATTTGGTTACATGAATAATTTTTTTTTTTATAAAGAGTGATATTCTGGGTAAAATGCCCTAAATCAACAGAAACAACTTGAAAATTGCTTCTATTGCTGCCAGAAAGAGAAAAGTAATTAGTGTGAGTCCAGATTACCTGCAGAAGCACAGAGTCAGGGCCATCTGGCTACAGGGAAAGCTATGCTTTTAGAGAAGAAACACTTAATTAAAGCCCAGTGATTGATTTATTAGTACCTTTGTCTGAAACCGGAATCCTATCCAAGGAACATGTTCATCTCCACTGCTAGAATCCAAAAGATTTGAGAGAAGAGGCAGGAAGGGGCAAAGATACAAAATACAGAAAACCCTATTGTATTTAGTGGGGAAATAGAACATTGAAATAGTAATGAAAGAAAGTGACAAAAATAAAAGTGAATCAAAAACGTACATTGATCAATAGATTCCTTTGAACCCCGGGTGGAGACCTGGTTGGCCAGCAGTATGGTAAGACCTGGGGACTCCTGGGCCCAGAGTCAGTGACATAGCCACAGAGGACTAGAATGGAGAGTGAAGGCTCCAGCTGATAAGAAGAGAGGGCATATGCACAAAAACACCCACACTTGCAGATAATACCCACTTGACCTGGCTTCAATGGCTGCATGATCAGAGCTCAACTAGAAGAAGAAAGAAGAGGAAAAAAAAGAGTAATCTGATACAATTTAATGAACTTGACCTACACCTATGGATGCAGTAGCTCAAAAGAGGGAACAAATGTTTACAGCAAGGATCATTCCCACCCCCTTGATACACAGGGTAGACAGGGATGGGCAACTTGGACGTTGGCTACCCAAAATGGGGGGTGGGGGCTACAAAGGCAAGAAGTGACTGGCTTACAAGCTTTCAAGAGGGAGCCTAGATCCAGAGGGCACGGAGGAAGGTAGAATCTCCACGGAGTCTGGGTGGGGCTGATGAAAGGAGAAGGGGATGGCACTTATGTGGCACAATAGTGAATAATTACTATCAGGACTGACTGTGAGGGTTGGAAATGTAAAGGTAGATGTTTTTTAGCAAAAGGAGGGGAGTGGTTGAGTTTGCAGTCCAGGAACGGAGGTCCCTGGGACCATCAAGGGAGAAGAGTAGAATGCAGGATCCTACCCAGAGAAACAGTGACGTCAGAGATGGAGGCAGGGATGATGATGTGGAGAGATGGAGGAGCTGGGGACTCTTGACTCAGAGAGGGAGAGGCGCTGTGTGCTTACAACCAAGGGGAAGGCTTGCAGGGTGTACCATTTGGTTGGTTGATGATGCATGGAGGGGATTGTAACCATGACAATGAAATGACTATGATAGGATGAATGTAAAGCTAATGTTCTCCCATGTAAACTATCACATAATTCATAATAAAACATTTTAAAAAATACAGTGAAGTTCTGGGAAGGAGGAAAAGAGGGAACCTACCTATAAATGACACTGGGGTTCCTCAGCTACACCAACAGCTGTCTAAAAATCTATTTGCACTAGATACCCTGAAAGGATTTTGGAAATTCTAGCAAGAATCAGAAGTTATTGCTATGCTCTTAATCAAAATGAAGGATGGGAAGCTGTCTTAAATTTTGGGAACAAAATGAGGGTAGTCATGCCATTGTTTGATATTTAACATACACGAATGATTTGAGATGTTTGAATTCTGTCCTTACTAAGTGAAAGGGTCCCACTTAAATAGTGACCATTGAAATTCAACTTTAGGAGAACTTATCCTCAAGAAATGGTATTTTCAATAACCTCATATGCATGAGAAAGCTAGACGGTGGTTAAAGAAGACCATAGAAGAATTGATGCTTTTGAGTTATGGTGTTGGAGGAGAGTATTGAAAGTGCCATGGACTGCCAAAAGAACTAATAGATCCATTTTGGTAAAGGTGCAGCCAGAGTGCTCCTTGGAGGCCAAGATGGCCAAACTTTGTTTCTCATACTTCAGACATATTGTCAGGAGGGACCAGTCGCTGGAGAAGGATGACATGTTTGGTAAGGTGGAGGGTCAGAGAAAAAGAGGAAAACCCCCAATGAGATGGATTGGCCAAGTGACAGCATCAATAGACTCAACCATGGCAACAGTAGTGAGGTTGGCCCAGGATCGGACAGGGTTTCATTCTGCTGCACATAAGATCACTATGAGTTGGTACCCACTCGATGGTACCTAACAACAACAACAATAATCCTCAAGAAAAGAGTCAATAATAAAACCAAAGCACAGAATTGAGGAATGTTTAAAAAAAAAAAAAAAAAATGGTGGCAATGACAATTCAGTGGTAAAATTCTTGCCTTCCAGGAAAGGAACCCAGAATTGATTACTGACCAAAATACCTTTTGCACAGTCCCCACCACTTTCATTGTCTAACTATCCCCAAAGGGGATAGTTGGTGAGAACCTAAAAACACATCAACATACAATCACCAATTAAATACAAATAGGACAACAGCTCAGTGTCCTGGAGACAATAAACCATTTTAGCTCACACACAAAACAAACAACAGAGACCAAGATGCAGAGCAGAAAATATTTCTGAGGGAAAAAAAAGTAATGGAACTAATTTAAAAACAATTAAAATATTTAGGTACCTTCAAAGGACTGGCAGAAAGATCTAGGAAAGCAACGAGAACACAGAAAAAACTTTAGAAAATTTCAGAATGACATTACAAGAACAAACTGACAAAATAAATGCAGAGTTTGAAACAATACAAAACCTGCAATTAGAAATCCAGAGGAATAATACTAAGATTTCAGAAACCGACAATACATTGGAAGGCAAAGGAATTGATTCAAAGCAATAGAAGGCCGAATTAGTGAGCTTGAAGATAAATCTGTCATTACTAGTATGCTAGAAGAACAATCAGAAAAAAGAATGAAAATGCTGAAGAAAACCTTAAAGTTATGTGAGACACCATGAAAAGCATCTTACGGGTGATCAGAATTCCAGAAAGGAAGAGACAATTACAAACACATAGAAAATTGTCAGAGTCATTACAAAACTTCTGTAGAACCATGAAAGATGAGAAGATAAGCAAAGGAGAAGCTGAAAAAGGATGTCTATCCTTTTGTCCAAAAGAAAATCACCAAGACATATCATAATCAAACTTTCAAAAGCCAAGGACAATAAACCCGGGTGGAGACCTGGTTGCACAGCAGTGTAGCAAGACCTGGGGACTCATGGGCCCAGAGTCAGTGACATAGCCACAAAGGATTAGAGTGGAGAGTGAAGTGTCCAGCTGATAAGAAGAGAGGGCATGTGCATAAGAACACCCACACTTGCAAACAATACCCACTTGACCTGGCTTCAATGGCTGCATGATCAGAGCTCAACTAGAAGAAGAAAGAAAAGGAAAAAAGAGTAATCTGATACAATTTGGTGAACTTGACCTACACCTATGGATGCAGTAGCTCAAAAGACGGAACAAATGTTTACAGCAAGGATCATTCCCACCCCCTCCACACACGATTAGACAGGGATGGGCAACTTGGACATTGGCTACCTAAAATGGGATGGGTTTCAAAGGCAAGAAGTAACGCTTACAAGCTTTCGAGAGGGAGCCTAGATCCAGAGGGTGCTGAGAAAGGTAGAATCTCCACTGAGTAGTATCCAAACTGTGTGGGCGGAGCTGATGAAAGGAGATGGGGATAGGTCTCTTGTGGTACAATAGTGAATAATTAGTATCAGGACTGACTGTGAGGGTTGGAAATGTAAAGGTAGACAATTTGTAGCAAAAGACAGGGAGTGGTTGAGTTTGCAGTCCAGGAACGGAGGTCCCTGGGACCATCAAGGAAGAAGAGCCAAGTGCGAGACCCTATCCAGAGAAGCAGTGACACCAGAGATGGAGGCAGAGATGATGACGTGGAGAGATGGAGCAACTAGGGACTTTAGACTCAGAAAGGGAGAGGGACTGTGTGCTTATGACCAGGGAGCAGGCTTGCAGGGTATACCCTTTGGTTGTTTGGTGATGCATGGAGGGGACTGTAACCATGGCAGTGAAACCAAACACGATAGGATGAATATAACACTAACGTTTTCCCATGTCAACTATCACATAATTCACAATAAAACATTAAGTAAATCAATAAATAAAGCCAATCATCAGCTAGAAAATTGATGCTTTCAGTTTTCTGGGATTCTCAAGGGCCAGTATTGGGACACTATCAGGAAAATTGTTCAACAATCAGCAGTGCTCATTACAGTGAGATGCTCAAGGAAGAGATGAAGCCTAAACTTTGAATTAAATGCTATTTAAGGATGTTGTGATCTTGCAAGACTATGAACGTCTGTACATCTCTGCCCACACGTTTGACACTCTGCAAAAACTTCGTATGAGGTGTGAAAGTATCCTCCCTATAGTCCTGTTATTGCTCCGTTGGACTTTCACCTGTTTTGTCTTCTGAAAGTAGTCCTTCGAGGACAAAGATTCACCTCTGATGAAGCAGTGAAGACAGCGGTGCATTCATGGCTCACAGGTCAGCCTAAAACATTGTTTTTAAGAAGGGAATACAAAACTTGTTGACAAATGGGCAAAGTGTATTGAAAAGCAAGGAAATTATGAAAAATTATGTATTTGTCTTTTCTAAAACTTGATTGAAATATATTGTATAGCCAGAGTGCAGATAATTTTCTACTTACCTTTGTACATGTACGGAATGTGGTAGCTCCATAGGATAAACATTAGACTGTAAAGCACATGTTGGTGGTTCAACCCCACCAGACACTACACAGGGGAAAATGAGACTTTCCACTCCCACAAAGATTTCCAAAACCCTCAGAAATCCTACAAAGCCTCCCTCTGCATTAGAAGCAATTCTACAGCACCTAACAACAACCACAACATATACGTATGAAAGTTGAACAATGAATAAAGAAGATAATGGAAGAATCAATACATTTGAATTATGGTGTTGGTAAAGAATATTGTAAGTACTATGGACTGCCCAAGATCAAATAAACCTGTCTTGAAAGAAATACAATCAGAATGCTTCTTAGAAGCAAGCAGGGGAGACTTCATCTTTCGTTCTTTGACTGTGTTGTCAGCAGGTTTCAGTCCCTAAAGAAAGATGTCATGCGTCATAAAGTGGAGGGCCAGCAAAATAGCAGAAATCCCTCAATGAAATGGATTGACAGAGTGGCTGCACAATACGCTCAAACATTAGCAACAATTGTGAGATAGGATTTTACAAGATCAACAGTGTTTGGTTATTTTGTGTATAAGGTTACTATGAGTGGCCTAACATCGACAACAACACAGGATAAAAGAGATATGAGCAACAAATAGACTATAAAAAGACCAAATACATTTTTTAAAAAAGAACGTGTTGAGATGCATTAATAATGAACTAAGAAATAGATTAAACAGAACTAAAGAAATAATTCATTATTTTGGAAGAGATACATTAAATAATAGAATAATGTTGATAAAAGAGAATTAGAGAACTGAAGATAGAGCCAAATAAAGAATAAAGGATTAATGAAAACACACAGATATAGAAAGCATGAAAAACACAGAGTGCTAAAAAATATGAGAGAATGTGGAAGAAACACTACTTGAAGAAATAAAGATTAAGATTTTCCAGAATTACTGGATGAATGAAAGCAAACGTTCAACCCTAAAATTATAAGCCCATAGCCAAGTGAAGCTTTGTTTGCTCTAGTTGGCTAAATTACAATGAAGACGTTTTCTAATATTTTTAGAGGAGAAAAGAGATGTGGCATTTTCATTAGACTATACTAGGAGCTCTGGTATCATAGAGGTTATGAATAGGGCTGCTAATCTCATGGTCAGTAGTTTGAAACTACCAGCTGTTCCGCAGGAGAAAGATGAGGCTTTCTGCTCCTGTAAAGATTTACAGCCTCAGAAACCTTGTACAGGGTCGCTATGAGTCGGAACCGATTCCACGGCACATAACAACAACATACTACTTAGGCTTTAAAAATGAATATTTTGCTGATGTTGTTAAGTGTTAGACTCAGTTCTGGCTCATAGCCACGAAGTACAGTGTTTCTAAGGAGTGACTGGTGGGTTTGAACCACCAACCTTGTGGTTAGCAGACCAGTGTTTACCTTGCAGCACTGTACAAGGACTACTTCAAAAGTGAGTAATATTGTGAAAAACATTCTATCCAACTGCCTCTTCTTCATCTAGCAAATTCACTGTTTCTTTCCACCACTTTACTGCTTTTAGTAAAAACCTGTATACAGTGGAATCTCAGCTTTAAGTTGATGCTGAACTCCCTGGAGCCCTTTAGTGTCTAGTGTCGGGTTAGCCACCTTGTGATTTCATGGGGAAGATTGTTGACTGACTACAGCATGATCAGGTCAGCAAGAGCAGAACATGAGAAAGTGTATTGCAAGGATGTCTGAAAGAAACTAGCCTAACAGAAGTTTCCTAGACCTTGGATAAAGTTGTTGTTGTTGTTATGTGCCTTACAGTCGGTTCAGACTCATAGCGACCCTGTACAGGGTTTCCAAGGGTGTAAATCTTTACGGGAGTAGAAAGCCTCATCTTTCTCCCGCGGAACAGCTGGTAGTTTCGAACTGCTGACCTTGTGGTTCGCAGCCCGATTTGTAATCACTGTGCTACCAGAGCTTCTTTTGGATAAAGTTAGATGTAGCAAATACTGTCTTAGTTTCTTACTGCTGCTATAACAGAAATAACACAAGTAGTCATTTTAAGAACAGAATTTTATTTTCTTACGTTTCAGGATGCTAGAAGTTCAAATTCAGGACTGTGGCTCTATAAGAAAGTGCTCTCTGTGCTAGCTATGAGGGAAAATAATTGTCTCAGCTTCTATAATCCCGTGTTCCATTGTTTCTTGGAGATGTCTACATGACATCAATTTCCCCCCATTTGTGTTTGTTTCCTTCTCTTTAAGTAGTCCTGGTGTGGCGCTGTGGGGTAGTGCAACAGACTGCAAAGTTGTTTGAAATGCAAGGTCGGTGGTTCAAGCTCACCAGCTTCTCCTTGGATAAGCTATACAGTGTCGCTATGGGTCGGAATTGACTCGATGGCATTTAACAACAACAACAAAGGAGTCCTGGTGGTAGGTAAGCCTTAGGCTCTTAACTGCAAAGACAGCAGTTCAAACCCACCAGTGCTCTGCCTTCATATAGTTAGTATGGTAATGGGCCATTTTCTTTTGGTCTTCAACTTCAGATTCAGTTTCAGGAATGAGAAAGGATCATGAGAAAGATGAAGCTGTTTGCTCCTGTAAAGATTTAGTCTCTGAAATCCTGAGGGCAATTCTACTCTGTCCTATGAAGTTGCTATGGGTTGGAATAGACTTGACGGTAGTGAGGTTTTTTTGTTGTTGTTGTTGTTCAGGGGTCTTTTGTGTGAGTCTGTGTCTAATCTGTTTTTTTCTTTTTTTATATATATTTCAAAAGTCATTAGGTTTAATTCAAACCCTACATTGCTATGACCTCATTTACATAACAAATAAAACCCTAGTTCCAAATGGAATTGATCTATAAATTTGGGGTTTAGGATTCCAAGACATATTTTGGGGGAAACAATTCAATCCACAACACTGTCCTAATACAGATGTCCTCTAGCCCAACCATGGGAGGGACTTGGGTTGCAGAAAGAATAATTTGTGGATCATTTGCTATTTGCCAGACACTGTGCTGCACATGTAATTAGATGAAAACAGGAATTATTTTACATCTTATCAACAAACGTTCTTTAGCCATATGACTGAAAGCAAGTTGCTTACAATCTTTAAAGTAAATGTGTTCATGAATCCTAAGCCAGGTATATTCAACTATTACCCCTGTAATACCAAAAAAGTCGTTTTTATTTTTATTTATTTATTTATTTTAATAAAATCAATTTTGTTTCACTTTAACTTAGAAAAATAAACTTCATACTTTAAAATCAAACAAATGACGAGAAGTTTGGGTTGTTGACATCTTTTTCTTGAACACAGTCAAAATATATAAAACCAAACAATATCCATAGGGCAGTGGTTAAAAAACATGTTCTTAGTTTAGTCAATTCAGTCCACTCCCTGTAGAAGGCTGTGAATCTACCAACCAGATAGCCTTGTTCTCAGGACAACGAGTTCTAAAATTTAGACTGCACAGAATCACCAATAAACTTGTTAAAAGTACAGATTCCAAATTCCAACCAGAAGGATTCTGATTGAGCAGGTTTGGGATGAGACTCAGATTCTGCCTGTTTTGCAGGCAGTATATGTACTGGTGTGGCTCTGTGGGTTAATGCGCCTGACTGTAAACCGTTTGAACTGCAAGGTCAGAGGTCCAAGCTCACCAGCTGCTCCTAGGAAACCCTATACAGGGTCACTATGGGTCGGAACCAACTCGATGGCACTTCACAACAACAACATATGTAAATGTGGACAAGTGGTCCAGAGTTCTCCTTATAAAATTCTGTCTTAGGAAAACCAGAGTCTCAAACCCTCCCTTTCCCCAAACACTAAAGAATCCTGATCACCTCCAGCAGACCTAAGAAATGACCCACTCTGCAAGTTTGATCTGGATCCGCTAAGTGTCTCTGATCTGGGTCCATAATCAGAGGGACAGATCAGAGCCACTGTGATTTCCAGGCATGAAATAAACTACTGTTTACTATGAGAGCAGTTTTAGTAATTGATTCAAACAGCATCATGCACTTAAGGAACTTCTTTTCATATGTCATTCCTCCTCCAAAAAGAGATTAGTCTCACCTTCATATAGTCGGTATGGTAATAGGCCATTTTCTTTTGGTATTCAACTTCAGATTCAGTTTCAGGAATGAGAAAGGATCATTTGGGAAAAGACAGATGTTTGTAACATTTTTTTTTTTTTTATTTGATCCAGAGTGGGCGGTCAATATGTTTACCTGAGAGCAATACACCCAATGGGACTCAGGATTGCCTGAGAGTAAAGCTCCACACTGACTGGTTAAATCCGTAGGTGGAGAAGCTATGTCAACATCTTTGGTAAAATAAAACTGAATTTCCTCTAACTTTGGAGCAGTTCTTTTAAGTATCTTTTAACAACTATTTTCTTAAGGTACAGATTACAAGTGATAGATTCTACTTATTGCTAAGGCATCAATGTTGTCATTTCTGTTTAGCAGATAAACCACATGCATTCTCCTCACTCATAGAAAGTCAATCAAGAGGAGGGAAAACAACAACAGGAAATCTATTTAATTCATCATCTACCAATCACTGTGGAGTTTCCCTGGCCACTAAACATTATATCACATAATACGCACTCCAAAGAGTTAAATATATAGTCCTTTTTTCTTTCCTCCCAGAACTTTTTGATGACTTGGCAAGCCAGTGAACAATTCAGCAGAAAGGCATTCTGAGTCACGTTGGCATGTTGTGATAGAGTCATGCAATTGCCTGAGATTTGTCCCATGTTGAAAATGCCTAAACAGCAGAGGCAAATGGAATGAAACATCAGAGCCAGCACAGCCTGAGAGAGACTCAGAGTCTACAATCTACTGGGAAAGCCTGCCGCTGTGATATAGGATAAAGTCAACACAGATAAAATGACAGCAAGACGTCTACGAACAAGTGCAGCTTTGTTCTTCCTTGGACTCTTTGGAGTCTTAGAGACAACAACAATATCGTGCATGAATGAAGAAGGTGAAGCTGTGGATTGGTAGGTAAATGAAATGTAAAGATTAGTGTATAAGATAAAAAATCAGAGTTTCTGAGACAGCTTGGTTCACTGTGAAACCCTGAAGTAGAATGTCCACCCTGTCTCTCTTCTCCTCCCTAGGAAAAAAGGGAATTGAAGTGTGCCGATGGACCAAACAGCCAGATAGAATTAGACTTTTCAGTAAGTTCATTTCCCCGGCAGGAAGAGCAGAACACCCATCCTGGGTCTGTTTCACTGCATTCAGGAGGGCAAGGCTGGCAACCACAGAAGTAGGGTAGAGGTGACAGCTTCTTTCATTTAACAATTTACTTCCATTACATTGTGATTATGCCTCACACTATCCTCCCAGCATCCTTTTAAACCAAAACAAAGATAAAAATAAATGCAATGCTGTCAAGTAATTCTGACTCATAATAACCCTATGTTGTTGTTGTATACCCTCAAGTGGGTTCCAACTCACAGTGATCCTGTACAGTGTATCCAAAGAGTGGCTGGTGGTTTTGAATCTCTGACCTTGCAGTTAGCAGTCCAGTGTTTATCCTACAGAACCACACTGAGACTTCTTAATGACCCAATAGGACAGAATATAACTGTCCCTATAGGAATCCTGGTGTGGCGCTGCAGAATAATGAGCTAGACCACAAGATTCATTTGAACCACAATGTCAGTAGTTCAAATTCACCACTAGCTCCTCAGAAACCTTAGACAGGGCTGCTATGAGTCGGAACCGACTCAATGCCACTTAACAACCACGACACAGGGTTTCTAAGCTAGAAATCCTTATGAGGACAGACTGCCACATATTTCTCCTTCAAATCAGTTGGTGTATTCTAACCGCTGACATTTTGGTTAGCAGTTGAGAGCTTAACCACTGAGCCCACCAGAACGCTTCAATATCCTTTAAGAGACTGGCAAAGGACAGAAGGCAGATTACTCCTTTTCTCAGAGTGGAGTTCTCTTTATGAGAATGAGACCACGGGCCTGACCATAGGTAGGACCATTTGGTTAACCTTGGTTTGTAAAGGTCACTGTCAGTGTATTACAGTCATAGATTCTCCTCAAGCTTTCATCACTTACCACTCTTTACTTAGGGCATTTGAGTTAGTCATTATGGTAAATGTCAAACGTTACATAAACTTTAGGTGACACAACACAGATATAATCACTCTTTCAGCGAAAGTTCCTGAACTCATGCCAGGCTCTGAACTGGATTTAAAAAATAAAAAGTGAACAAAACATAGCTCTTGCATTCACAGAGCTAACAGTTATATGAGAAAGGTAGAGATGAAACATCAGCAAACAAGGAGCTAGAAGACTTCTTGGAGGAAGTGGACATTGAGCTTAAGTTTTAAATAATAATTGTTAGCTTGAAAAAGAAGGGCAATGGAAGGGCAGCTTAATGAGGAGACATAGGCAAAAAGCAACATGAAGTGTTTGGGAGCTATAATTTACTGGAAATGTGGGAGAATGCATGAAAATGGTAGAAGATAAAGCTAGAAAGTTAGGTGAAGTTCAAGTCAGAAAGGGTTTCAAGTCAGAAAGGGTTCTTGTGTACTGAACTGCAGGGTTTGAACTTTACCTCAAAAAAGAGGCCACTAATATGATAAGAATTGCATTTTAGAAAATCCACTGGTAGCATAGTGGAAAGCTTTAGGGTATGTGGGGAGTGCAATCCCAAATCAGTGCAAGCAGCTGGACTTCTACAGCATCGATGAGGAGAAAAATTACAGTGTTACAGGTGAGGCCCCGAGTTAAACAACTGGCAGTAAAAATGGAGAGAAAGGAGCATTCTGACAGGTTTTAATTATGGATGAGATAAGGTGTGTCAGAGAGGAGAAGTGAAGAAAGATTTTCAGGTTTTTGGGTTCTGTCACTTTATGGATGTGAACACTAATAATGGAGGATGAATAGACTTTGCACAAAATATTATAAACTCATATGGTTGGATACAGTCCCTAAGAAGAATGTTTTAAAAGCACTAGCCATGGCACACTGATGGGCCATAAGCCCTTCAGGAGTGAGCCAACAAATTGTGACCAGTATGTAAAATGTATTTTTGCTGCCACTGAGTGGATATACTATTAACAATGTCTATTTAGGATAAGGAGCTCTGGTAGCGTAGTGGTTGAGTCAGGTTGCCAACCTCAAGGTCAGCAGTTTGAAACTACCAGCACTTCTGCGGGAGTAAGATGAGGCATTCTGCTCCCGTAAAGATTTGCAGCCTCGGAAACCCTGTGCAGGGTCACTATGAGTCGGAACTGACTCCATGGAACGTAACAACAACAACCAAGGATAAACACTGGATCACAAGGTTTATTGGAACCACAAGGTTGGTGGTTCAAACATATCAGCCACTCCTCAGAAACCCTATACAGGATCTTGATGAGTCTGAACTGACTCGATGATATTTAATTACAACAACAACATCAGAGAGAATATTGAGCAAGCATAGTAGTACATGGTCTCAAGCAGATGAAACATCCTCTGAGAGTTAAAGGTTCAGAACCAAAGAAAAATATTGTTTTCTGGAACATGGGAGGACCCTTCCACTTGAGTAAGAAAGCAAGATCAGACCAGGAGATAGTTCACTTCAACAGAAGTGTTTTGATGTTCCTATGGGCAGTGTCCACCACTCATCAGTCAGTTTGTAGTACTGTGGTGGCTTGTGTGTTGCTGCGATGCTAGAATCTATGTCACTGGTATTGTAAATACCAGCAGTACACATCCATGGTGGACAATTTCAGCTGAGCTTCCAATCTAAGACAGACTACTAGGAAGAAGGAAAAGCAGACAGCTTCCAAATGTTTAATCACTGAAAACCATTTGAATAGCAGTGGAACCCTGTCAGATAGAACCATAATAGTGAAACATGATGAATTGCACCAGAATAGTGTCAAATATAACGTCAGAAGATGCGCCCCTCAGATTGCAAGGCACTCAAAATACGACTGGGGAAGAAATGCCTCTTCAAAGTAGAGTTGACTGTGGTAACGTCAATGGAGTAAAGCATTCAGAACCTTCATTTACTGATGGAGAAAAATTCAAAATGAGGAGAAACATCTGCAAACATTCATTCATAATCAAAATATGGAATGTACAAAGTATAAGTCTAGGAAAATTTGAAGTTGTCAAAAATGAAATGGAATGCATAAACATCAATATCCTAGGCAATTTGAGCTGAAGCAGACTAGTTTAGGCTATTTTTAATATGACAATCACATGGTTACTATGCTGGGAATGACCAATTGAAGAGGAATGGCATCACAATCATCATCAAAAAGAACATTTCAAGAACTATCTTCAAGTGTAATGCTGTGGTAGTTTAATATCCATATGCCTACAAGGAAGAAAAGTTAATATCATTATTATTAAAATATACACACTGATTACTAAAGCCAGTGATGATGAAATAGAAGAATTCTACCAACTTCTTGAGTCTTAAATTGATCAAATATGCAATTAAAATATATTGATAATTGCTGGTGATTGGAATGTAAAGTTGAAAACAGAGTATTTGGAAAACATGACTTTGGAAGTGGAAATGAGGCTGAAGAGTGCATGAAAGAATTTTTTAAGACAATAACTTATTAATTGAAAATGCCTTTTTAAACAACATAAAAGATGACTATATACATAGACCTTACTAGATGGAATACACAGAAATCCAATTGATTACATCTGTGGAAAGAGCTAGTAGAAAATCTCCATATCCTCAGTCAAAACAAGGTCAGGACTGTGGAACAGATCATCAATTGCTCATATGCAAGTTCAGGCTAAAGCTGAAAATTTTTAAACAAGTCTACAAGGGCCAAATATGGTCTTGAGCATATTCCACATTAATTTAGAGATCATCTAAAGAACAGATTGATGCATTAGGCACTAATGACCAAAGACCAAAAGAATGATACCAAGAACATCATACAGGAAGAACACAAAAAGTCATTAAGAAGACAAGAAAGAAGGAAAAGACCAAAGCAGATGTTCAAAGACATTCTGAAACTTATTCTCCAATGTAGAGATACTAAAACAAATGGAATAAATTAGGAGGCAAAAGAGCTGAACATAAAATTTCAAAGGGCAGCTCAAGAAGGCAAAGACATATATTATAATGAAATGTGCAAATACCTGAACTTAGAAAACCAAAAGGGAAGAACATGTTCAGCATTTCTCAAGGTGAAAAAACTGAAGAAAAAGTCAAATCTTGACTTGAAATGTTGAAGGATTCTATGGGCAAAATATTGAATGGTTCAGAAATCATCAAAAGAAGATAGAAGGAGTACACAGAGTTACTATACCAAAAAGCAATGATTGATGTTCAACTATTTTAAGAGATAGTATATGATCAATAGTCAGTGGTACTGAAGGAAGAAGTCCAAGGTGCACTGAAGGCATTGAAAAAGAACAAGACTCCAGGAATTAATGGAATACAAATTTAAATCTGTCAACAAACTGAAGCAGCACTGAAGGCACTCACACATCTATGCCAAGACATTTGAAAGACCTGGCCTACTGATTAGAAGAGATTCGTATTTGTGCCCATTCCAAAGACAGGTGACCCAATGGAATGCAGAAACCATCAGACCATATCACTAATATTTCATGCAACCGGCTTCAAAACCGGCTGCAACAGTACACTAACAGGAAACTTCCAGACGTCCAAGCTTGATTAAAACAAGGATGTAGAACAAGGTATATAATTTCTGACATCAGATGGATATTGGCTGAAAGCAGAGAATATCAGAAAGATGTTTATCTGTGCTTTATTGACTATGCAAAGGCTTTCGACTGTGTGGATCATAACAAGCTATGGACAGCATTGCAGAGAATGAGTATTCCAGACCACTTAATTATGCATAGACCAAGAGGCAGTTGGTCAAACAGAACAAAGGGGCACTGAATGGTTTAAAATCAGGAAGTGTGTGCACCAGGGTTGTATTCTTTCATCATACTTATACAATCAGTATGATGAGAAAATAATCTAAGAAGCTGGATTATATGAAGAAGAATGTGGATATCAGGATCATAGGAAGACTCATTAATACACATGATACAGCTCTCCTTGTTGAAAGTAAAAAAGACTGAAAATACTTACTAATGAAGGTCAAAGACCACAGCCTTCAGTATGGGTTGCAACTCAATGTAAGGAAAACAAAAATCCTCACCACTAGACCAATAAACAACATCCATATAAATGGAGAAAAGATTGACGCTGTTAAAAATTTTATTTTGCTTGGATCCACCACCATTCATGGAAGCTGCAGTCAAGAAATCAAATGACATGATGGTTTATTAGGCATATCTACTGCAAAATACCTCTTTAAAGTGTTCAAGAGCAAAGATGTCAGATTGAGGACAAAGGTGTGCCTGACCCAAGCTATGGTATTTTCAATAGCCTCATATGCATGTGAAGTATAACAATGAATAAGGAAGACCACAGAAGAATTGATGCATTTGAATTATGGTATTGGAGAAGAATATTGAAAGTATCCTGGACTGCCAGAAGAACTAACAAATCTGTACTGGAAGAATTAGTCAAAATGTTCCATCGAAGCAAGGAGGGCCAGACTTCATCTCTCATAATTTGGACATATTATCAGGAAGGAGCAATTCTTGGAGAAGGACATCATGTTTGGTAAAGTGAAGGGTCAGCAAAAAAAGAGGCAGTCCCCCAATGAGATGGATTGGCATGGTGGCAGCATCAAGGGGCTCAATGTAACAACAACTATGAGATTGACACAGGACTGGGCAACATTTCATTCTGTAATGCATAAGGTCACTATGAGTTGGAACTGACCTGACAGTATGGGCACTGATGGCACCTGACAACAACAAACAACAACAAGGTAATGCTATACAGTTATTTAAAAAAAAGAAAAAGAAAAATCAGTCCTTGCCAAGTTGATTACAAATCATGGCTACCATGTCAGAGTAGAACTGTGCTCCACAGAATTTTCGATAACTGATTTTTCAAAAGCAGATTCCCAGGCCTTTCTTTCAAGGTGCCTCTCATTGGACTCTAAGTTCAACTTTTCAATTAACAGCCAATTGACTGTTTTCCCCACCCAAGGATTCCTATGCTTAGCAGTAGTGAATGCATTATAGCGTTTAGTTTGTTGTGAGCATTTAGGTGTTAATTGTGTTGTTCATGATACTAGAGAGTATTTGGCTAAACCATTGGTTTTCAACTGGGGAAATTCTGCCCTTCAGAGCACTTTTGGCAATGTCTGGAGCCGTTTTTTATTGTCAATTTAGGGACATTACTGGCACCTAGTATGTATAGGTCAGGTACACTGCAATGCACAAGAAGCCACCTGCAACAAAAAAAATTACCTGGCCCAAAATGTCAACTAGGGACACTGTTGAGAAACTATGTGCTAGACAAATCTGTAGACAGAACTGTAGGCTCTCAAGGTCCAATCATCGCTCTTTTTCTGAAATACTTGAAGGAAATATGCAAGCAGGTAATAGTAGTAAAGGAAGGTAATGGGCCCACTTATTAGCTGATCTTGATTCCTTAACGTAGATTGTTCTGATAAACTGAGCTAAAGAATGTGACCCATACCACAGACTCAAGGAGGCCTTCACCTTCCCTGAAACTCAACTCAAAGCTCACACCCAACCAGCCAATTGCAAACAGATGAGAATGATAAGCCCATTGCAGAAGAAAGCAACTTATCCAATGGTAGTCCAGTCCTGGACCTTGACCTTCTCCCTATATGAGTTATGAATGCAACAATGAGTACTGCTCTCAGTGTACATGAATAGGGACTGTCCATACCCAGACCAAACCAATAAATGTGTTTGTCCAACAAGATTTGTATTTCGTTATCTGGGGAGGAGCAAGGAGAAAGATAGAGAACAAGCCAAAGAGCTTAAGCATTCCTTTTCTTAGACTTGGAGGCCTCCCATGAGAAATAATTGAGATGATATATTTAAATTCTTACTATGATTGCCACCAGGCAGGTACCCATAAATTTCAGTAATTCATAATTAACTTTTGACAAAATTTCTTTTGTCAGGTTTGTCTTTTATAAGTTTCCTAGAAATCAAGAAAAGGAAAATGGAGCGACTGGGTTAGAGTACCTGTACTTAGATTCTACATCTAGAAGCTGGAGAAGGAATAAGCAACTAATGAATGCCACCAAAAGCATTTTGGGAAAGACATTACAACAATTATATGAAGCATATGCCTTCAAGGTATGTTATAGCTGATCATTCATTTATATCATGTACAGTGGGATTTCAAATAGTTCATGGAAAAATAGACTTAAAAATAATTATTCCACAAACTTGTTGAAGCCCCCTTGTAAAGTACGTAAGACAGAATCCAAAGCTTCTGAAATATTTTTTCCATTCATCTACCAACCCCTAATCTTACCAATGAACCCTGGTGATGTTGTGTGTTACACATTGGGCTGTTAACCACAGGGTCAGCAGTTTGAATCCACCAGTCGCTCTGCAGGGAAAAAGATGAAGCTTTCTGCTATCATAGAGATTTACAGGGTCTCTGGTAGCGTAGTGATTACGAATCAGGCTACGAACCACAAGGTCAGCAGTTCGAAACTACCAGCTGTTCCGCAAGAGAAAGATGAGGCTTTCTGCTCCCGTAAAGATTTACAGCCTTGAAAACCCTGTACCGGGATCGCTATGAGTCGGAACCAACTCCACAGCACATAACCACCACCACCACCACCACAAGTCATAGAACACAACAACAACAAAACCATAGTGAGGTAAGCATTGGGTTGTTAACTAAAGGTTGGCAATTTGAACTACACAAGTACTCCATGGGTGAAAGATATGGTCATTTGCTTCTGTAAAGATTTACAGCCTTTGAAAACGCTATGGAGCGATTCTACTCTGACATATATAGTCGCTGAATTGGAATCAAGGGCAGTAGGTTTGGTTTGGGTGATTGTAGCAAGTTAAAGTAAACCAGCGCAAAACTAGCCCAGGAAAACTATCTGAGTCAACATAACCAAGACCTTAGGGAATATACCATTGTACTCTACCCGCCCACTGCCACCAAGTTGATTCCAACTCATAGCAACTTGATGAGGCAGAATAAAACTGCTCCACAGGGTTTCTGAGACTGTAAGTCTTTTGGAAGTGAGCAGCCTCATCTTTCTCCTGTGGAGTAGCTGATGGGACTAGTGGTTTTGAACCTCTGACCTTGCATTTAGCAACCCAATGCTTAACCCACGGCATCACCAGGACTCCTTTAAGCAATGCCAAAGTGTTGATGCATTAGGACCATATCTAATGGTATCACTGGACAGGGTGTGAATTAATTGTATATTTAAGTCTGCCAAGGCACTTGTTTTTAGCCATATAATTTTAGTTCATCTGTTTAATCCATCCAATTTAGTCCCTCTATTTTAATTCACCTAAATTGCAAAAGTTTATCCATCTAATAGAAATAAGGAGACTATCCCTCTCTTGTGATAGTGAAAGACAAACCAATGATCAATATGACATGGATTATTAGCTCTTTATGACATAGTGGTGATGGATTTATGCTGGCCCAAGCAAAGGGCTCCACACAATCTTCCTTTTACTTAATTTCAAATGATAGGTTGAAAGTTAAGGGTCCAGTTCAAAGCCCTAGAACTAAATTGTCTGAGTGGAAATGAAGTTGCCTAAATGGCTATCTGAACTTCATAAGTCAATGAGCTAACCAGTGAAAGAGTGTGTGTCCAGATAATTCAGCCATAGGTGGATGGCTTGTGAGTAGGCCTGTGGCTCAGTATGGGCAGCCTCCCAATATTTCAGGCACTATCTGCTGTTCAGTAACAAGGCACTGCTTTCCAACTAGGAATGACAAGAAAAACCGAGCAATAACTGAAATCCCATTGTACTCATTTAGGCATTTCCTAACAATAATTTGTAGAAAGGTAAGCAAATAAGATGATGAAGCACCTATGATGTTCTGTAATCATAGGTGCTGTAATCTGTCAACTAATTTCACCCGTAGTACTACTACACATGCATATATGGATATTTACTCAAATCGTGCAGGAAGCTGCCGTAAAGACGTGTGCTCACATTCATTTTATTCACTGCCATCAGTCTTCACAGCTAAGTTACAAAGTATTTACAGACTCTTCGAATATGTCAAGTGCTTTTAGAAATTATTTTATTTAATCGCAGCAACAACCCTGCTTTGGATAAACATATTGTTACTTAAAATCAAAATTGCCTGCAGCTGCTTCTGCCTTCCATGATTGGGGTAGGAGAGCATAATCCATCAGAGAGAAAACAAATGCCAACATCGTTCCCTTCCCCATCACAGAGACTGCTCTAGGGAGAAGGGAATGAAGAACACTATAAAGCTTTTGCCCTGCACTCAGTGTTGGAGCAGAAAACAATAATGATATTTGGAAGGTAGTCCCAAGAGCCTAGGTGGGGGAGAAAGTTAAGTTGTTCAGCGAAACAAACAATCAGGTGGAAGGGAGCTAGGAATTAAAAAGTATGAGAAACTTGGATCGAGATTGAGGTCAGGACAATATGGTAATGTCAAAGTGTTCAGTCATTTCAAACCAGCTATTAAATCTACTCACACATAAACGCCTTGGGTGATAAAGATGCTGGGAAGAAAATGACAACAAAAAGACTGATGCCCATGTCTAAAGGGCATGGAGCCCAAAGAACAGACCAATAGTTGTGGGTGACATCCAGGTGAGAGTGAATATTCCTTGGAACTAGGTGCCAGAAGTGACTGCATATGTTGTCCTGTACCCCGCCTGACCTGAAATTGAACTGTGACAGAGAATCATATTTGAGATCAGACCAATGATTTTAAATCTCAAATGTCAAGGTAACCTAAGCCAATATATGGTTTACATTTGGAATTGTTTTCCTTCTTTGCTAATAAGAAAATCATCTTTTCAAATGAGAATCTTTCATATGCCTTTAAAATAGCATGTACCAAATGATATGGTAGCTGTCTCAACTTGCCTGTCTATATTCTCTACTAGACTTAGGGCAGAAACATATCCCTCTTATTCACCATCCAGTAGCCAAAATAATGCCCAACACATGTTTTAAATGAGTAAGTTGTAAAAAGACAAATGCCTACATTCAGCTTATTCTTAATGTCCTTTTATCAAATCAACTTTCTTACCACCGGAGCTACAACCCCCTTACCCTTAGCTAGTTGTTACATTCCTGGTTAACATAGTACCCTTCATGTATTCTAACAAAAAAAGTTCCTCTCCTATCTTCCCAAAGCCTCGTCACATTACACTTCAAAGGCACACAATGGCCTCATGACCACATTCAGTACAAGCACACAGACTGTGAGAGTTCTACAGAGGAGGATGATACAATTGCCATTTAACAGGTATGATCAAGTATGGACGATGAGAGTCAGAAAGCAGTTTAACCTTCCTGGATATTCCTAAACACCGTAGCTAAGAATGCTATATAGACTATGTAGCACATCCTTAAAAACATATTGTTAGATTATATCAAATAATTAAGCTACTGTGAGAAATTCAACTATTGACTCCCCTTCCCCCAGGAGAAAAGCAAAGACCTTTTTAAGGAAATGGGTATCCACTCCTGTTTTTAATTATATCACTGAGATTTTTTAATATTGACATTATTGGCAACAATAAAAGTCACCACATCATGAAACAAATGAAATGGAACAAATATAAGCAAGTTTCCAAAGCATGACAAAGAGATACCATCAAAATAATAGCTTCATTTTGATTAAAAGATTTGGCTAACTCTTTGGAGAATTTACTAGCATTTTGGCCTGTCAGAAGAAATTCAATACCACACATTCAATTTCACCTCCTTTCTAAACAGGGAAATATCCTGTTAGAAAGATGAAGTGACACTAAGAAATGGATTGAAGACAAATCCTGTCATACCTGGGAGATAGGGGGAGAAAAGCCTGAGGAATTCTGATTAAACAGAAAGCTTGGCCAAACAGCAAACTACAAAGTAGACAAAGGAAATCAAATCCTGAGAGGCAATTCTGCATTATGACTGCAATATCAATGGAAAAACAACAACTCAGATGCTATCCTTGGCTGGTTGCACCTACTTCATTTCCTGAATAAATATTTAAGTACTCTTTTATTATACACTGATTGCTGAATCATAAAGCTTGGCCCAAAATAACCAAGAGAAATGGGAATACCACCCTCACACATCACACAATACAATGCATAGGACTATTGTCGCAAGAGAAAATCATGCACAGTTGAGAATGGACTTCCTTTGCCTTGTTTTGTATGTCACTGCATTTATATTGATGGATGTGTATTAATGAAGCTCTGTATTGCAGGCTGAGTAGCTGGTAGAAATGTTCTGAGCATTAACCCTAGTACATTCCTACAGAGTAACAACACAGCCTATCTATTGTACAATGATGGAGTCCCTAAGTCTGTGAATTACAGCAGAAAGTACGGACACACCAAAGGTATGACAAAGACCCTTAGTTTCTCTTTCCTACTGTGAATCTGCATTTTTCGCAAATGTTTCATTATAAATATTATTGTATTTTACACTAAAAAGACAGAGTGATTTTTCTTCACAGTGGTTTATTTTGAGTTATATTATACTGTGACTTGACAGTTCCATTTTTACAAATCCCATTTTATTTCTCAGAATATTTTTTAATATGACTTTTAGTGGAAATCCATGTGCTGACTACTAATATATATATGAGGTGTATGTTGTTGTTATTAAGTGCCATAGAGTTGATTCTAACTCATAACAACCCTATATAGTATAGGGTTTCCAAGAAGAGGCTGGTGGATTTGAATCGCCAATCTTGAGGTTAGCAATCCAGTGCAACACCAGGATTCCATGTGTATGTATGTATATGTAACACACAAATATATATATATATATATACACTCATTAACTCATTAAGAAGCTCTGGTAGTGTAGTGGTTATGAGCTGGGCTGCAAACTTCAAGGTGAGCAGTTTGAAACTACCAGCCATTTCGAGGGAGAAAAATGAGGTTTTCAGTTCCCATAAAGATTTACAGCCTCAGAAACCCTATACAGGATCGCTATGAGTCATAAACGACTCCACAGCACATAACCAACACCACCACCATGCTCAGTAGCCGCTCTGCAGGACAAAGATGAGGTGAGGCTTTCTGCTCCTGCAAAGATTTTTGTTTTTTTTAAGTTCAAGAAAATGGAATTAAGAGATAGAAGATAATGCTATTTTCCACAAACTCTTTGCAGCCCCCCTTATGTCAATTCCCCTGGTTATTGCAAATGGTTAACATGCTTTGCTGCTAACCAATAAATTCAAATCCAGCCAGAGGCTCTTCAGAAAAAGGCCTGCAATCTACTTCTGAAAACCCCAGCCGTTGAAACCCTATGTTCTACTCTGACACACAAGGGGTTACAATGAGTTGAAAGTGACTCAGTGGCAACTGGTTTATTTCTACACACGCATACATTTTAGCCTCTAGGTTCATTGAAAGTAGCTCTGGTAGTGTAGTGGTTACGAATCAGGCTGCGAACCGCAAGGTCAGCAGTTGGAAACTACCAGCTGTTCTGCCGGAGAAAGAGGAGGCTTTCTGCTCCCGTAAAGATATACGGGCTCGGAAACCCTGTGCAGGGTCCGACTATGAGTCGGAACCGACTCCACATCACATAACAACAACAACAACAGGTTCATTGAGGTATAATTTGCATGGAGTAAAATCCCTCTATTGAGTGTACAGTTCCACTTGAAATAAACATTTTTGACAAGGTTTTTTTGTAAACCAAATAGTGAATCAATTTTTTATAGTATTGTAACTCGTCATTTTTCTATTTATAAACTATGCAGATATGTATATTAACTATAAAAATTTTAAATGCAGGTAAACAAAAAATGCTTATGATTTTCATACCTGTTGTTGCTGCTAAGTGCCATTAAGTCAGTTCCGACTCATAGTGACTCTGTACAGCGTTTCCCAGGCTGTTAATCTTTACCCAAAAAGAAGATCTCATCTTTCTTCAAGGAGCAGCTAGTGGGTTTAAACTGCTGATCATGTGGTTAGTTGTTGTTGTTGTTGTTGTCAGGTGCCATCGAGTCGGAACCGACTCATAGCAACCCCATGCACAGCAGAAAGAAACAATGCTCGGTCCTGGGCCAACCCCACCACCGCTGCCACACTTGATGCCATCAATGATGCCACCTGGCTGATCCATCTCATTGGGGGTCTTCCTCTTTTACTCTGCCCCGCCATCTTACCCAGCATGACATCCTTCTCCAGCAACTGTTCCCTCTTAACAATATGTCCAAAGTATGAGAGACGAGGCTTAGCCATCCTGGCCTCCAAGGAGCACTCTGGCTGCACTTCTTCCAAAACGGATCTATTGGTTCTTTTGGCAGTCCATGGCACTTTTAGTATTCTCCTCCAACACCACAACTCAAAGGCATCAATTCTTCTATGATCTTCCTTATTCACTGTCCAGTTTTCATATCCATATGAGGCTATTGAAAATACCATGGCCTGGGTCAGGCGCACCCTAGTCCTAAAGCTGACATCTCTGCTCTTCAATACTTTAAAAAGTTCCTGTGCAGCAGATTTGCCCAATGCAATACGTCGTCTGATTTCTTGACTACTGCTTCCATGAGTGTTGATAGTTGATGTGGTTAGTAGTTCAGTGCTTATCCATTAGTGCCCTACCCATTAGATAAATATGTTTAGTCTTTTCTATTTTTTACAACATGTACTTTTTAAATTTTCCAATCAATATTGTAGAGACTTTTTCAAGATTTTCCAACTTAGTCGGTATGTTGTTGTTGTTGTTGTGAAGTGCTGTCAAGTCGGTCCCGACCCATAGCGACCCTGTATAGGGTTTCCGAGGAGCAACTGGTGAGCTTGAACCGCCAACCTTGCAGTTCAAATGGCTTTGCAGTCTGGTACATTAGCCCACAACACTGGTATGGATAAGTTAAAAAAAAAAAAAGTACCCTCACAACTAAGGTTTCAGTTCATATGTGCACAAATTTATTCCAAACAAAATATGTTTAAATGTATCTGTGTTCAGTGGTTGGCTGCAGACAAGTTCTTTCAGTAATGCACTTGTCTTAGGGTGTATCCTTTAAAATACACCCAACAGGGGAGAGGAGTTTCAAGGTCAGGACTAATATTAAATTCCTAACAAAACTCAAGTGGACATCTTCCCAAATCATTGAAGCTTTACAATAATTTTATAGGAATGCTGCCCCACATAAAACAACAATTTTTAGATGGATCAAACATTTTAAGGAAAGTCAGGAATACCTCAAAGATGAGCCAAGACCTTCAAGAATACCTCAAAGATGATAGAAGACCATCAACCTCAACGAATAAAGTAACTATGGCTGAAGTCCAGAAACTGGGGGGAGAAGCTATTGATGCAATACCTGAGGCTTGGATCTCACATGGTTTGGTCTTTTCATTACGCAGTGGACATCTTGGCCTCAGACAACTCAGTGGGTGCCTAAATCATTGTAGATCAGCTAGCTCAAAGGGTTAATCTTGCCATCAGTCTTTTAAGCAAGATAGAAGGTAATGAAGATGATTTTCTGGAACAAATCATAACTGGGACTGAGCCTTGGATTTGCCAATACAATCTAGAAAGCAAAGTGCACTCAACACAGTGGCCTCCACGTGGATCTACTGGGCCAGTTAAAGTCAAAGACAGAAAGGTCAGCTTAAAATGTTACAGTTATGGTTTTTTGAGACTCCAAAGGAGTAATCTTAACAGAAAACTCACAGGCATTTGTTAGGAAGAAGTTTTAAGCAAACTGAAAACTGCATTGGTGAGAAAAAGTCCAGGAAAGTTGTTTTCCATTATGAGAATGTACCTGCTCATTCGTCAAGGGTAACAAGGGCTGTCCTATGAGAATGTCTTTGGGAAACCTTACCCATCTACCCCACAGCCTTTATCTTACCCCTGCAGAGTTCTTTTTGTTACATAAACTGGAAAAACATTGAAAAAATAACACAATTTGAGTTCCTCAACAATGCCAAAAGTGCCTTTTTGATGTAGTATAAATCAAATTACACAGATTTCTTCAGTGAAGGGTTAGAGAGATGAGATGAAAATACTGCCTTCAGAGGTGTAGAGGATATGTTGATAAACCACAGCTTCATATTTTGATAGTTTTGTTTACTAAAGGTGGCTACGATTTTATAGCAATACTTTTTGACTGACCTTCATATCATATGAATAACTTTCCATGCATTTTACCAAAGGTTTCAGAGTCAAATGGCTTCAGATAACAGGCAAGTTATATAACAGATAAAGTAGATTGGACCAACAGACAACTGTGAAAAACTGGACAGTATATATTTGATCTAAAGAAGGCAAATACTACTTAACTTGCTTTACAGAAATTTAATTTTTCAGATGTTAAAAAATTAATCTTTTAGTAGAAATCTCCCCAGTATTTAAAAGTTTTAAAAATAAAATATTTCTGATAAAATACACCTATGACCTGTATGAAGGGCTTCAAGAAGTTCATGAGAAAATAGAATGAAAAGATAATAGAGTTTCCCCACAAACTTTTTGAAGCCCCCTTGCATTTTGACAATTTGTAACCTCTGATTATGAACATAACTTATAATGACTGTCAAAAGGCATAGGCATTTGAAGGTTTTGATGTAGTCAGGTTGTCTTCATGATAGGAGTCCCTGGGTAGTACAATGGTTGAGACTCTTGGCTGCTAACCAAAAGGTTGAAGGTTCAAGTCCACCTAATGATGCTTAGAGAAAAGGTCAGGTATTCTACTTCTGAAAAGAAAAAACGCTATTTGAACACCCTATGTAGCACTGTTCTATTCTAACACAAATGAGAACACCTTGAGTCAGAGTTGACTCTTCAGAAACTGTTTGGTTTGGTTTGGTTTTGGTTTGCAATTTTTATGGTTCTTGGTTGTGGTGTGCCGTGGAGGTGGTTCCAACTCATAGCGATCCTGCATAGAGTTTCTGAGGCTGTAAATCTTTACGGGAGCAGAAAGCCTCATCTTTCTCCAGCGGTACGGCTGGTAGTTTCAAACTTCTGTCTTGGAGGTAGTTTTGAACTGCCTGAATTTGTAACCACTACACTACCAGAGCTCCTTTGCAATTATTATTGTTGATGGTGGTGGTAGATACCATGGAGTTGGTTCCGATTCATAGTGACCCTGCACAGGGTTTCCGAGGCTGTAAATTTTTACAGGAGCAGAATGCCTCCTCTTTCTTCCGCAGAACAGCTGGTAGTTTTGAACTGCTGACCTTGAGGTAGTTTCGAACTGCCTGAACTCGTAACCACTATGCTACCAGAGCTCTTTTCAATTATTATAACATACCATATTTTCCAACATCTCATTCAGCAACCTCCCACCACCACTCTCATCTCTACCCTATCAGGAGCCACAACAGTTGGGTCAAAACACTGGAAAAAGTGTGAAGTTCAAAGTCAAATGTGGGAGTTCTCCTTGTCAACAGATGCCTACTATCCTGTCATTTGTACCAGGAGGTTACATTTTTAGCAAAATAGCACATTCATCTGAGCTTAGAGCACTTGAAGGTTACCCAGCTCTGTTAGGCAATACAACTTTGAACATAGTCCATCTGGACATAGGAATCAATTCTGTTTCCACCAAGAGAGCAATGACACACTTTTCTAAGGTGTTTTCTTTGAAAATAAGTAACCGACAAGAATTTAGTCTCACTTCTAACAATTAGTCAAATGTGAATCAATTTTATGTTTATGCACAGCCATATGCAATTTCAACAGTCTAGGTAGCATATCAAAACTATCCTGATATATTTATAAATACAGAAATATTCACAGACAGCTGTTGCTGTTAAGACCCTGTAGAGGGTTTCAGAGGAGTACCTGGTGGGTTTGAACCACCAACTTTGCAGTTAGCAGCCCAGAGTCAATCCTACAGTGCCACACCAGGATGTCCTGTTGTTGTTGTTGTTGTTGTTTTTAAGTGCCATCGAGTCCGTTCAGACTTATAGCAACCTTGTATAGATAGAGTAGCTGAGGAGCAGCAGGTAGATTTGAATTTCTGGCCTTGTGGTTAGCAGCCCAGGGCTTATTTTTGTTATGTCACAAGATGGGGAAGATTTTTCTGTGTTCTTCCATCCTGGTTCTCACATTTTTTATTCTAGAGATTTTACTTAAAAAACACAGTTAAGCTTTAGCATAGCTTTCTCTCTTTTGTCTTGTGTCTGTTCTTGAATTTGTGGAATTGGATGACTCTGAGCCACATAAATGAGCATCATTTTCTTACAACCAACGGCTGCAAGTACATATCTTCATTTGATATTTTCCCTTTCAACTCTGATTTTTAGCTGGCTTTTGAAAATAGCATAGCTGCTTAGCAGTGAAGACACTATCTGAAGCTCACCAGGTCAAATTCCAATTTAGCCAATTTGCATTCTGCCAAAACAAATTCTTCTTGTGTGATTTCAATGTGAAATTCCTTTTAACTCTTCACAGATTACCTGGACTGATTCTCCTTTAGTAGTAACTTTTTTATCAATAAGGAGTCCTGGTGTGGGACTGCAGGCTAATGTGCTAGACTGCAAGGCTGGTTTGAACTGCAAGGTTAGTGGGTCAAGCTCACCAGCCACTCCTCAGAAACCCTATACAGGGGAGCTATGAGTTGGAACCAACTCAACGACACTTAACAACAACAGCATTATCAATAAAAGAAGCTCTGAAGGACCTAAATGTGAATCCCAGAATTATGAAGGTCATCAATGAAAAAATAGGGACAAATGTGAGGGCACTAATTCTGGGAATACATGGACTACAAAACACTTTGAAAACTGCACAAACAAAAATAGATAAAATAGATGAGTGGGACATACTAAAAATTAAAAACTTATATATATATCAAAAGACTTCACCAGAAGAGTAAAAAGGGAACCCACAGAATGGGGAAAAATCTTTTGCAATGACATGTCAGACAAGGGACTCATATCTAAAATATATAGGAAACTACAACACCTCTACAAGAAAATGACAAATAACCCAATTAAAAAGTGGGCACAGGATATGAACAGACATTTCACTAAGGAAGAAATCCAGGCAGCCAACAAACATACGAAGAAATGCTCACGATCACTAACCATTAGAGAGATGCAAATCAAAACAACAATGAGATATCATCTCACACCAACAATAACAGCAAAGATGAAAAATGGAGAAGACAATAAATGCTGGCGGGGATGTGGAGAGACTGGGACACGCCTGCATTGCTGGTGGGACTGCAAAATGGTCCAACCTCTCTGGAAAGCAATATGGTGTTTCCTCAGAAGGTTGAAAATAGAAATACCTTATGATCCAGCAATTCCTCTACTTGGTATTTACCCACAAGAAAAAAACAGAGCCACAACACGAGAAGATATATGCACACCAATGTTTATAGCAGCATTATTTACAATAGCAAAATGATGGAGACAGCCAAAGTGCCCATCAACTGAAGAATGGATAAACAAATTGTGGTATATACACACAATGGAATATTATGCTACATTGAAGAATAACAAGGAAGCGGCAAGCCACCGCATAACACGGATGAACCTGGAGGGCATTATGCTGAGTGAAATTAGTCAGTCACAAAAAGAGAAATACTGCCTGGGACCACTACTGTAAAAGACTAAGAAAAAAAATTATACTAAAGGGGGGTAAGGGGGGAAGTCTATGTTGGTTGCTGGGAAGTGGGTGATGGATGGGGGGAAGTGGGAAGGGTGGAGCGTAGGGCGGGAATTGGACTCAGGAGAGCTTGGGTGCTGGGGAGGGGGGAAATTTACAAGGAGGGAGAGGGAAGTGGAGAAATGGGGCAGATGGGAGAACAATTGGGCATGTTTGAAAGGGCCAAATGGGACAGAGATAAAGGACGATATATACACGGCCTTGGAACTGCAGGGTTCTGAGATACAGGGATTTAGTCATGGCTGTAATGTGGGGGGAATCATGTCAAGGTGCTTGGCTGTTTTTTGAATCTTGGTTTTCCTTGCATTATAATATAGAGTAGACACTGGAGGGGGAGAGAAAGGAATAGTCAGAAACATCACACTAGAAGGCTTGTAAGTCTGTCTTCTGCCTTTAACTGATTGGAAAACCTAAAATGGGGCTACAGCGTGCCCAGTGAACGAGGCTTCCAGCGGAGCCCTTGCAATACATAAAACTATAGGTAGACACCAGAACCACATCCAGATCACCAGAGATGAGAAATCTCCACTTGAAAGGACGCGCTGACCAGCCTGGAGCGGCGAGAAGAACAAAAGATACTTCTCTAATGAAAGACCTACAGGAAAAATACGAATCAGTGGAGGCAGTTGGACGGTTACTACAGGAACAACCGGGTAGCTTCTCTAGGAAACATCGGGGCAGGTGGTCGGGTCTTCTCAACGCAGGTCCCCTTCCAAGACTGAGACTTGGTGGAAATGCACGCTCTGATTGGTGACCGCACGCATCACCGATGGGGAGAAGTGGGGTAAAGGCAGCAATGAAGCGGCGAGCTAAGCCGTACAATATTCGGTGGGCTTCTGTGGACCCGGTTGGGGACCTGGTTGGCAAGCAGTGTGAGGAGACCTGGGAACTTCTGGACCCAGAGTCAGTAGCGTGGCCACGGAGGACTCAAGTGGAGAATGGAGCTGCCGGCTGATGGGAAGAGAGGGCATGTGCACAAGAACACCTACACGGGCAGATGGTACCCACGTGACGTAGACCGGATGATGGATGATCAGAGCTCAACCAGGAGAAGAAAGAAGAGGGAGAGAAAAAAAAAAAAAGATTGAGCTGATACAATCTGATGAACTTGACCTATACCTACGAATGCAGTGACTCAAAAAAGGCATCAAATCCTTACAGAAAGAAACATTCCCATCCCCTCCACACACAGAGTGGGCAGAGATGGGCAACTTGGACATTGGATACCCAAATTGGGGTGGGGGGGGACTACAAAGGCAAGAAGCGACTAGCTTACAAGCTTTCAAGAGGGAACCTAGAGCTAGGGGGCATGGAGGAAGGCAGAATCACCAGTAAGTACTATCCAATCTGTCTGGGCGGAGCTGATGAAATGAAATACAGATGGGTAACCCTTGATACTGTAGTGAATAATGGTTATCAGGACTGATTGTGGGGGTTGGAGATGCAAAGGTAGACGTTTTGTAGCAAGGAAGGGAGTGATTATTTCTCCAGTCTAGGAGCGGAGGTCTCTGGGACCATCAACGGAGAAGATCCTAGAGCGGGACCCTACCCAGAGAAGCAGGGATGCCTGAGATGGAGACAGAGACAATGACGTGGAGTGATGAAGTGGCTGGGGACTTTGGATCCAGCGAGGGAGAGGGACTGTGGGCTGAAGACTGGAGGGGGGTGGGGTAGGGGGAAGTGTAGAGGACAGGTTTCTAGGTCGTAAGATGATGCATGGAGGGGATTGGAACCATGGCAATGAAATGATATAGGATGGAATGAATGTAAAACTAAAGTTCTCTCATGTAAACTATCAAATAATTCACAATAAAACATTTTTTAAAAAATAAATAAATAAAAGAAGCTCTGGCGGCATATTAGTTACCCGTTGGTCTGCTAACCACAAAACCAGTAGTTCAAATTAACAAACTGCACCATGAAAGAAAGGAGGCTTTCTGCTCTTAACAATTTACAGCCTCAGAAACCCTACATAGGATCATTGATTGGAATTGATTTCAATGGCAGTGATTTGGGGTTTGGTTTTGGGATATCAGTAACAGGGTAATGTGATGTATGCTTGAATTGTTTTGAAATCTTTGAAAAATGTCCATGCTCCTGTGATTATTGGCCTATAAAGTATTAGCCTAAAAAATAATCAGCTTTAAATGTTGCAGCTTAATTTTTCTAATTTGTCTATATTTAATTCATTTTTGTAGGTTTGCTTCTGTGGAACAGAGTCCAGGGTTTCTGGTTGATTCATTCTGTTCCCCACTTCCCTCCAATTCCTGAAGAAGGCTATGATTATCCACTCTCAGGGCGACGATATGGACAAACTGGCATCTGCATAACTTTCCATTACAACCAATATAAAGCAATAGGTAACATTAGAATATGTTTGAAAAGAGACAAAGAGAGCAATGCTGAAGAAGATAAGAAACTGGGAAATGTATTTATAAATTTTTCTCTTTATTATCTATTAATAGACCCTCTGATACCTAGATTCTAAAACTGGCTTTGACACCAAGAGATCTTGAAAAAGCTAACTTATATTTGTGGCTTCCTGATCCACCAATATAGTCACTGAATTTGCTCTAGGGTTGTTGCTGCTAGGTGTGTTCCAGTCATAACAACTCCATATGGCAGCAAAACTGCCTCATACAGTGTCCCTGGCTGTAATCTTTATGAAAGCAGATCACCAGTCTTTCTCCTGTGCAGCCACTGGTTGGGTTAAAACTGCCAACCTTTTTAGTTCAAAGTTGAGTGGTTAACTGTTTGCAGCACTAGGGTTCCTTTGACTAGAGATGGCAATTTTGAATGTTAGTTTCTTATTACAAAGTCTAGGCAAAAAGAGTGAAACTTATAGAAAAGGAAATATTGTATGATCAGCTTCCCTCAAAGATCTTAACTCTATCATATTGTAGCTCTACAAGAATGAAGTTCTAATGGTTACAGATCTCCAAATGTTTAAAGAGGAATCAGAATTCTAGGTGTGTGTGTATATGTGTGTGTGTGTGAGAGAGAGAGAGAGAGAGCGAACTCCTGATTTTTAAATATACTTTCAATTTTTTTGTTTTGTTTTTACATGTACACATCTCATGTTGCCTGTAGGTCACCGGTGTGATCCATTAAGATCTTCACCTCAAACAGACAGAAATACTTAGATTTGGCAAACTGTAGTGAGGGAGAAGGGAAAGCCAGAATACTGTTTTATCAATCACTTTTTACTGAGGATGCTGCTAAACAGAAACACTCAATATAAAGGAGTTTAGAATATGTTTCTCTTCAAATTTTCATTTTATGGCAAAGATCATTGTGATGCTCAGCCTCTTACCAAGTTCAAACCCTGTGTAACTAGTTTGATTCATGTATTGATTACAGATTAGAACAGCAAAGAGATTAAGTATGCACTATGATGAGATGATCATTGCTGAGGTTTTATGATTAGGTACATGGGAGTTTTCTACTTTTATAAAGGTAGATATTGAGGGTGGCATGCAATCATCAAGGTCAGACGACCTGAGTTTAAAAGATAACCAGTTACAAACTTTATAACCTTGAGATGTAAATTCTCACTTAATTCAGCAATATAACGAGGATAATGATAACAGGGACTTACCTAACAGTAAGATTATAATAAGGATTAAATTCATTAACCCACATAAACCTCATAGAACAATATCTAAGAAGTAGACAATGTCATCTGTTTTAACCAAAGTTGACTTGAAGGCTATTGACTTCAAAAAGAGAACACTTGTGTTTTGCTTTTTAATTCACAAGAAGCTCTATAATAGGCATTTCCACTTGTGTCTTGATGCTCACCTTTATTTTTGTATTGACCCTTGATTCAGATTCGCAGCTCTTGATCTACAACCCAAATGTCTACAGCTGTTCCATCCCAGCCACCTTTCATCGGGAGCTTGTTCACATGCCCCAGCTATGCACTGGGTCCAGCTCATCAGAGATCCCTGGCCAGCAACTCGCCATGTTTCAGTCAGTCCAGGGACAAAAATTCCTCCATTTTGCAAAGTCTGATACTTTCCATGATGGTATGAAAGACCATCATCAAATATTATGCTATATAACTGCTGTTGAATAACTTTGGATTGCTTAGAAGAGATAGTCTGATTATTCAGAGGAGTTAAGGGAGAAAGGAAATCAAAATTCATTCACGCATTTGCCTGCCCAATTCCCATATAATGGTTCTGATCCAACCAGTCAAGGACCAACCTCTGCTGAGCATGGGCTACAGCCATCTACCTCTTCTTTGATTCACTAAGCAGTTATTTTAAGTCTTCCTTACTCTCAAGTCCTTTATATTATCCTGCCTCTTCACTCTGTTTCACATTTTTTCTTCATAGAGAAAACAGAGATCACCAGGAAGGAAGAACTTCAATATCACACTCACCCACATCTCCATTTCTTTTAAGCTGTTTTCTCTCATCCCAACGGAAGGGATGCACACCCCTCTTTATTGTTGGCAACCAACCACTTAACTCCTGTGCCACTAGGATTCTCCTATCTCAATCTCAGAAGACCTTGATTTGTCTTCTTGATCTGTTCTTGTTTTATTTCAACTCTATCATCCAGTAGGCTTTCCCCCCTCCACATATAAACATGCCTACAACACATCCTTCAACTCTAAATCTCATATATCTTTCTTCTTTCTTTTCTACAAATTTCTTTCTAAACAACAACAACAATTCCAGATTTTCACTTTCCCAGTGCTCTTTCTCTAAAGTCTTGCTCTTTTCTGTAGAAGCACTACTCTCTCCCCAAAGTCATCACTGACTTTAGTTAACCTCACTGTTTTCCCTACTTGGCCAATTCCTTCCATCCTTTCTACATTGAATAAATATTTTCTGAATGCCTACTACTTGCCAAGCCTTGTGTTAAGCACTAGAGATTAAAAAATGAACAGAACAGAAATAGTCCTTTTAGAATTTAACACTGTTAAAACTCTTTCCTTTTGGAAACATTTCCCTTCACTGGTTTTTGGAAGGATACTCTCTGTTGTCTTCCTCCCACTTCTTTTAAGTCTCTACTCAAAGGTAGTCTTCTTCCATTTCCTCTTTGAATGAGTACAGGGTTGCCCTGTGGTTCTCTACTGTTCTTTGTCTCATTCTATACTCAAGCTGGGCAAGTCCAGCAAGACCTCTGGGGATTCCCAAGTCTAGATCTCTATACTGATTGATGTGTTCAATAGATGTTGTTGTTATTGTTAAGTGCCATCGAGTCTGTTCCAACCCCTAGCAACCCTGTATAAGGCTTCCAAGGAGCAACTGGTGAGCTAGAACCAACAGCCTTGTGGTTCAAACTAACTTTGCAGCCCAGTAAATTAATCCACAGTACTACAACAGGACTCCATTCAGTAGATAAGGAGATGTTATATTGGAAGTGGAATAGCCACATAATATTCACCACATCAAGTTCATCTCATCACTATCCCCCACAAACCAACTCTTTTTCTTGTATTTTGCAAAAACCTGGGAGTCATTCTACACACCTCCTTTTTCTCATCTCCCCAACCCCAGCTCAATCAGGCAATTCTAAGTACTTGATAAAATTCAGTCAATTCTAAGTAGTTAATAATTCTCAACTTTATCTCTTACTTTCCAAATTCTTTGCCACAGCCTTAGTCCCTACCTTTGTTGACTGTCACACCCATTTGCTTTTCGTTTCCAAGCTAACTGACCTTTCCTAATTTAGGGGTGCATTACTTCTGTTGGGATGAGAGGAAGCAGGTTAAAAAGACTGGAAACAAACAAAAGTCATCCTGAACATTTCCTAAATTGCTATTTCTATCATTGTTGTTAAGTGCTGTCAAGTCAGTTCCAACTCATAGCAACCCTGTATAGGGTTTCTGAGGAGTGGCTGGTGGGTTTAAACCACCAACCTTGTGGTTCAAATCCATCTTACACTCCTGTGCTTATCCTATAGTGCCATACCAGGACTCCATTTCTATCATAAATTAGTTTTATTAACTCCTTAATAGCATTCCTTTAAAAATTCCTATTTGCTTTAGGACACTTTTTAGCAAAGTTTACAAATATCTTTTACAAACTCTCCCATGATAAGTACTTTAGCCTTATTGTTTTCAAAAGTCCTTTCAGAACAAAATCATATATTGCAGACACCAACACATCATAGTAATGATGATAATGACTTTTACTTGCTGTCACTTTGTTGTTGTTAGGTGTTCTCTAGGTGCTGACAACTCATAAGGACCCTCTGATAACAGAATGAAATGCTGCCTGGTTCTGTACCATTCTCACAATTGTTGTTAAGTTTGAGCCCATTGTTGCTGCCACTGCATCAATCCTATCCCTTTGTTGTTGTTATTGTTAAGTGTCATTGAGTCAGTTCCAATTCATAGTGATACTATATAGGGTTTCCAAGGAGTGGCTGGTGGGCTTGAACCACCAACCTTGTGGTTAGTAGTTCAGTGCTTATCCTCAGAGCCACACCAGGACTTTAGTGTTTACAAAATGCTTTCTCATCCACAATGTCAATTATGTCGTTCTTATTTTGGTTGTGACATTCACATGTCATGGGTGGAGGATGATTTCCATTCCTCGGGATATTTTTAGGGATTTATCTAAGCATGAATAACAACTTCACTATCTTTCTTCTTATAAACCCTAGACATCTTTGCAGCTTGGATTGCTCAACAGTTGAAGACACACTTGCTAGCAGAAACCTGGCAGAAGAAGAGACAAAAACTTCCTTCAAATTGTTCCCTTCCTTACCATGTCTACAATGTCAAAGCAATTAAGATATCTGGAAAATCTTATCTTAGTTCTAGAGATCATGCCAAATGGTGTATTTCCCTAAAGGGTGCCCCAAATCGCTGGACATGTATTGGAGATTTAAATCGGAGCCCCTTCCAAGCCTTCAGAAGTGGAGGATTCATTTGTACACAGAATATGCATATTTTCCAGGCATTTCAAAGATTAATTTTGTATTATGAGAATTGTAACCAAACTTGATGAAAGGAAGCATGTACTATCAATGGGGTCATTGATAATGACTCTTCCTCCATGTTTATATATTAAAAGATATACTTACAGTCTGTGTATCATTAAATAAAACATTTTTCTCCCATGTTGGCTAGTTTTCACTTCCAGTTAGTGGCAATTTATCTACTTTGCACTATGAACTGTAGGCATAAATTATTAAAATGAGATTGAAAGGAATAAAAGGAAAATATTTATTCCAAATTGGTCAACTCTCAACTGTTCACTAATTGACATGTCATTTTGTAGATTAAATTTCATCTCCTTCACAAAGATTTCTGGGACTCCCATCCTTCCTAAAGGGTGCTCATCCACATTGTTTGATCATGTTCCTCTTAAAGTTCCTTCTTACTTATTTATGATTAAGTATTATGCGTCATTATTTCAGGTCTATTTGATAGCTTCATTGCTTCAGGTGACTCATGGAGACTCTTGGAGCTTTGATTTTCTCATCTATGTTGTTGTTAGGTGCTGCTGAGTAAGTTCTAACTCATAGCAAACCCTATGTACAACAGAACAGAACACTGTTCAGTTCTGCAGTACCCTCATAATCATTGCTATATGTGAACCCATTGTGGCAACCACATTGTCAACTCATCCTGTTTGAGGGTCTTCCTCTTTTTCTCTGATCCTCTACTTTACCAAGCATAGTGCCCTTCTCCAGGGACTGATCTCTCCTGATAACATGTTATCATAATATGAGCTAAAGCCTCATAATCCTTACTTTAAAGTAACATTTTCGTTTTACCTCTTCCAAGTCAGATTTGTTTATTCTGGCAATCCATGTTATAGTCAATGTCCTTTGCCAACACCATAATTCAAATGCATTAATTCTTCTTCAATCTTCCCTATTCATTGTTCACTTTCTGCAGTGAACATGTGGCAATTGAAAATACCATGACTTCAAACAGGCATACCTTAGTTCTCAAAGTGATCATCTTTGCTTTTTTTTTAACATTTTAAAGTGATCTTTTGAAGATTTGCGCATTGCAATACATCATTTGATTTCTTGACTGCTACTTCTATGGGCATTGATTGTGGGCCCAAGTAAAATTAAATCCTTGGTAAGTTCACTATTTTATTTTCCTTTATCATGATATTGCTTACTGGTCCAGTTGTGAGGATTTCTGGGTTTTTTTTTTATGTAGAAGTGTATTTCATACTGAATGCTGTAATTTTGATCTTCATCAATAAGTGCTTCAAGTTCTCTTCCCTTTCAATAAGTAAGGTTGTGTCATCTGCATATCATAGGTTGTAATGAGTCTTCCTCCAATCCTGATGCTATGTTCTTCATAGAGTCCAGCTTCTCATATTATTTTCCTCAGCATAAATAAATACAGATTAAATAAATATGGTAAAAGAATACAACCTTGACACACACCTTTCCTGAGTTTTAAGCAATGCAGTATTCCCTTGTTCTGTTTCAATGACTGCTTCTTGGTCTATATGGAGGTTGCACATAAGCACAATTTAGTATTCTGGAATTACCATTTTTGCAATGTTACCCATAATTTGTTATGATCGGCACAGTCAAATACCTTTGCATAATCAATAAAACACAAGTGAACATTTTTTTCTCTGTTGCAGTCAAGATTCATCTGACATCAACAATGATATCTCTCACTTCTCATCCTCTTCTGAATCTAGCTTAAATTTCTGGCAGTTCCCTACAACTGTTTTTAAGTTATCCACAGCAATATTTTACTTGTGTGTGATATTAATGATATTGTTTGATAATTTGTGCATTCTATAAGATAAAGGTCATATCTAGATATGTTCAAGCACCTAGCTTAGAGCCTGCCACATGGTAGACACTTAAACCCCCTATGGAGCATAGTACTTTAATCCTATGGACCACAGTTTTACTGTGACACACATGGACACACAAAAATAAATTTTAGAAATGAACGTTTTGGGGGAATGAACATTTTTAAGTCGCACTAATGAAAACACTAAGTCGCCCATCAACTTGAAGGAAATAAGAATTGTGATATAAAGAAACTAAAATCATATATAATAACCTTCTATTCACCCCATGGCCATCAAGTAAATTCAGACTCAGTGACCCTATGTAGGGTTTCTAAGGCTATAAATTTGGGGGGGAGCAGAAAGTTTCATCTTCCTCCAACAGAGCCGCTGGTGAGTTTGAACAGTCCAGTCTTACCCTACAGCACCATCAGAGCTCCTGAAGTTTTTATTACTAAGCATATAGTATAAGAAAATAATAAGATTGTTGTTTCCAGTTGCCATTGAGTCACTTTCTGGTCCTATGCGATCACCACAATGGGCTGTGAATTAGGTCATTGTGATATATAGGATTTGCAGTGGCTGATTTTCAGAAGGAGATCACAAAGTCTTGCTAGTCCACCTTAGTTTGGAAGCTCTACTGAAACATATCCAGCATCACAGCAACACAAGCTTCCACCATTGGACGGGGAATGACTGTGCATGAGGTACATTGGCTGGAAATCAAACCTGGGTCTTCTGATGAATGGAAGGAAATGAACCACCAATGCTTCATAATAAGATTAAGTTGTTCTTCTGGTGTGGTACTGTAGGATCAGCATTGGACTATAAACCATAGGGTCAGCAGTTCAAACCCACCAGATGCTCCTTGGAAACCCTATATAGGGCTGCTGTGAGTCAGAACAGACTCGACAGCAATTAACAATAACAAATTACTTAATAAAGTTTGGGGTGGTTCCCATTTCAAGACGCTTACAACTTGGCAAAATTCATTACAATTAGAGCTATTGAGTATTTGCTATGTAATTCAACACACATTTACTCATTTAATCTTCATAGTAAAGCTATGTGGTAAGTAATGTTGTTATCCCTATTTTACGGGCAAGGAAACTGAGGCTTACAGAGTTTCAGTAAATTGCCTAATATTACACAGTTCTATCTGATCTCTGAGGCTATGATCTTAACATCTTCCAATAGATAATTAAATGAAATGAAGCAATATAAGGTATTAATCAACTCGATGGCACTTAACAACAACAAACACTCTTTCTAGGTGGAACAACTGTAAATGTGCTCAGTTTTTAACAGAAAGGTTAAAGGTTCAAGTTTACCTAAAAGTGCCTTGAAATAAAATCAATCACTCAAAGCTATATAGAGCACAGTTTTACTATGACACACATGGGATGACCATGAATCAGGGCTGACTCAATGGCAATTAGCTTGGCTGAGATCTCAATATCAATAAAAATTCATAGAACCCTATTGCATTGGTTCAGTGACAAGCATAGAAAAGACTAAGTCTGACTTCCTGTCAGAAGCAAGCACAATCTGAGTATGTGAAATGCTAGTTAACTTCATGCTTGTAAAAACAAACAACCTTGAAAAATCTTATGATCTCTCCAAGAACATAAACATAATAATATTCAAAGAGAATATGTGATTCAATAACGACAGGAATAAATGAAAAGGGGGGAAAAGGCAAAGGTGAAGAAATCCAACTGGACTAGATATATACAATATGCATTCTTCCTCCCTCAAAAGGTAAATCCAGGTCTTCTACAGAAGCAGCTGTATCCCAAGAGCAATAGAACAATATGAAGAATGAGAAGGGGACAAAAATTAGAATCCATTGAATAAATAATGCAGGAAAAAAACAGTGAGAAGAAAGAAGTGATGGAGCCCACTGGAGATGCACAATTAGCATATGGTTCCAGATGAAGGAGTGATGAGAAGTAGTCAAATCCCCATGCGACAGGAAAAAAATATTGGAAAGGAACTGAGTAGCATTGGGAACTAAAGCATGCCAAACACTGATCCTGAGAGGAATGGCTATATCTTGGTGCTGGTGACTTGTTGTGGTGAAATTTAGAGGTGCCACAATAAATGATGATAGAAAAATGAAGCCTTAGAGATTTAGAGCATCAGAAACCCTACACATGGTTGCTATGAGTCAGAACCAACTCAACACACACAATGACAACAACAATAAACTAGAGAGAGCTAGTCATGATGGTTTTATCAAATATTTACCCAAGACTACTACCCATTTGATGTCCTGGTGTGGCCCTGTGGGTTAATGTGCCAGACTGCAAAGTTGTTTGAATTGCAAGGTTGGTGGTTCAAGCTCACAAACTGCTCCTTGGAAACCCTATACAGGGTCGCTATGGGTCGGAATCAACTTGACAGCACTTAACAAAAACAACTACCCATTCATGCTGACTCTTGTAGGAAGACAGAGGAAGTATCTTTTTATTGTTGTTAGGTGCCATCAAGTCAGTACCGACTCATAGCGACCTTATGTACAACAGAATGAAACATTGCCCGATCCTGGGCCAACCTCACTATCTTTGCCACACTTTGAGCCCAACGATGCTGTCACTTTGCCAATCCATCTTGCTGGGTGTCTTCCTCTTATTCTCTGACCCCTCCACCCTGCCAAACATGATATCCTTCTCCAGTGACTGGTCCCTCCTGACAATATGTCCTAAGTATGAGAGACAAAGCCTGGCCATCCTGGCCTCCAAGGAGCACTCTGGCTGCACGTCTTCCAACACAGATCTGTTGGTTCTTTTGGAATCCCATGGCACTTTCAATATTCTCTTCCAACACCGTAACTCAAATGAGCCAATTCTTCTATGGTCTTCCTTATTCATTGTCCAGCTTTCGCATGCATATGAGGTTATTGAAAATACCATGGCTTGGGTCAGGTGCACCTTAGACCTCAAGCTGACATCTTTGCTCTTAAACACTTTAAAAAGTTCTTGTGCAGCAGATTTTCCCTGTGCAATAGGTCATTTGATTTCTTGACTGCTCCTTCCATGAGTGTTGATGGTTTATCCTAGAAGAATGAAGTCCCTGACAACTTCAATTTTTTCTCCTTTGATAAGAATATTGTTTATTGAGGGACAATAAATGAGGGACATTGGTCTATAATTTTCTTTCTTAGTGATGTCCTTCCCTGGTGTTGGTATGAGGTTTATGCTTGCTTCATAGAATGTGTTAGGAAA